TACTTCTTTCTTTTCTCGAGTTAATGAAAATTAAAATCAACTTCTGTTTTGAGCACTTTGGAACTTGCCTCCAGCTACCTGGCAATACTATGTCACCATAGTGGTATCCGACCTCTTCTGTCTACCTCATCAGAGAAGCAGTACATCACGAGTCATCTGGGGAGAAAGCCTCAAGTGGAACAAGCATGAGGATAAATGGAGATTCACAAGCCTGTTAACTCACTGTATAAACGTATTAAGGAAATGAGCTTCAATTTCAAAATGGGGTTCATTAGAGATTGAGAAATATGTTGCTTCAGTACTAACGCTATCCTACTTGGCCTAAACAAGTCCAAGACATGCCCCTCTTCTAGTAATGACTCTACTTGCAAAAACTCAGTTCTGTCTACATATCTGGCAAAGTAATGCTCTGCATGAGAGGATATTAAATTATGCAGATTATTCTTGTGGAGGGCAAGGCTGGTTAATAAAACAAACCTGTACCGGCAGGCAGATGTTTTCAACTATTTAATTAGATGACTAACTTAGTTTGAAGTTATTCCTTTGTGCAATCTCTCCCCCAACCAAAAAAGAAAAGAAAACAAACAAACAAACAAAACCCAAAACTGGCTTTAGTACCAGTTTCTCATCTTCTGTAAAGACATTTTCAACTCCCACCGCAATTCTCAGTTGGTACTACTCAGAGCAAACTTTATCACCAGGGCCGCTATGGCTATGACCATTACTAGGATTAGTCCAGAATTAGTACAGTCACATGCTGGTTTGAATGAAGTACTGAAGTTTTGCTTATTAAACTGTATCAACGAATTCCTTGTTCCTTTTTTTTTTTGACATAATTCCCCATTCTTGACATCTGTCAGCCAAGGTGAATTATGTACAGTCTGGAAGTCTACTCTAGAAAAACCACATGAACTCAGAACCTCACTGCCCAGACTTTTCCCTTGTCCAGCATGACGTTCATGGAAATTGCTTCAATTTCTATCATTCCTCAAGTCATGGTGGACCTTCTGTCAAGGAAGCAGCAGTGGTATTCTCAGTAGTCTTCAGCCCCCTCAGTCACACAATATGGATTCTAACATCCTGCTTTCTAACATCCCTACAATATGGATTCTAACTCCTGCTTTCAACTCCTCATTTTCTATTTTGTATTAATAACGTTCACCTTTATAGACTTTCTCTAAAGATAGCCTTGATATCTTTCTCTACATATTTTATATTCTATATTACAAAAACTTTTAGGAGGCAGCACTATAGTCACCAAAATAACCGTTCCCTAAGTTCTGATTTAGGAATGTTTACAATATAGCAGGCAGCTGAGAAGGTGGAAATTCCCTTCTCAATAACTTCATCATTTTACTTTTACTTTAAACTCCTCCCAACTAGAAACAGAGTAGCAGAGACAGGACACACACACAGGTATATTAAAATAATGCACTCATCTTACCTCCTGAGGATTTTCATTCGTGTTTCTAGAATACATAAAGCCTTTTCGGGGCTCACTCATAGATTCATTTGTTTTCCTACCAGCCAGCTGGCTCACCAGGCTCTTTTCTGTGACACTGGGTGGAGTGGAGCTGCTTACATCTTTGGGGAAGAGTTTTGGAGTCTCTATTGTCTCTAGAAAGTGAGTTCCTTCAGAGACAGTGTTGTACACAGTTGAGGTCACTTCACTAGTACTAACACTGTCCTTGACATTCCTTCTACCATTGGCATGTTCTGGTCGGTGAGCTCCTTTCCCTTGGCTGTTTCTAGGATCTTTACCTGAACTATCTGAGTCATGTTCTGGGCAAAGAGCTTTTCGCTTATTTTTACCAGAAGCAGCATGATTACGGTGAGAGTGGTGCTCGTGGTCCGAGTGATGCTCGTGGTCCGAGTGATGGTCATGGTCATGGTGTATATGGATTCTTTTAATCTTATCTATGCCTATATTTTGAAGTAATTTTCTGAACCCTTCAACTGACAAAGAATTATTTTCTCCATAGCGGTAGAAAAGCTGTTGTAGATGATACTGCCGTGTGGTAATTGCCAAGTCAACATTAATGCCAGATTCCCAATTCGGACTAATTTTCTCAGTGGTCTGGGGGAAAGCAGCTGCTGATTTTAGTTCATGAAGGGGATTTGTGACAGAGAGGGTGAAGGTCAGGATCAAGATTACAGATAACTTCCTCGCCATTGCACCTTCCTAGAAAAGACAGGAAAAAAAAATTAACTCACTTCTAAAACAAATTGAATTAAGAAACCTTATACTGAAAATTAATGTGTAATCAAGTAATCAAAGTTGCCAGAGCATCATGTGGTGTGACCAGTGTGGCACTAGGTACTGTGAAGATGGAAAGAACTATAGTCCTAGGCACTACCCTTGCATTCCTAAAACACATGAAACAACTGGAGAACAGCTGAGTGCTAAGAGGCTGCCATTAGCACTGTAAAAGCAATAGTAATTCAGAGACAGGAGAGATCCATGTGGCCACAGCCATCAACTTCTTACTGAAGTTGAGAATTTATTTGAATGATTATTTGAATCACTGAGGCCAATGATTCGAAATGAAATCTAGGCCAGGTGTGGTGACTCATGCCTATAATCCCAGCACTTTGAGAGGCTGAGGCAGGCAGATCACCTGAGGCCAGGAGTTTGTGACCAGCCTGGGCAACATGGTGAAACCCTGTCTCAAAAAAAAAAAAAAAAAAAGAACGAAATGAAATCTAGCTACTTTGATCATCACCATCATTTCATAAAATAATCTTCAAGCACCAAAAAATAGAAACAATAATCTCAATTCACATGTTTAAAAAATTGTAAACTAATACACTCTCCTTATATACAAATCCATTTAAGACCCCTTTCTGCAATCACAATCCTCAAAGGTGCTCAATTTTGCCAGTGTATCCCTCAGGATATTTTCTATGCATACTCAAATACATGTATACTTAATTTTTCAAAAAAGATTTTTTTAAATTTAATTTTATTTTATTTTTGTGTAGAGAAGAGGTCTCACTATGTTGAGGTCTCACTATGTCGTCCAGGTTGGTTTTGAACTCCTGGCCGAAAGAGATCCTCCACCTCCACTTCCCAAAGTGCTGGGATTACAGGCGTGACCACTACGCCCAGCCTCAAATAGGTGTGTACTTTAAATACACACTGAATCTTTTTTTCCTTCTTGACAATGAATCAGACACGTTATGTCCATACATAGAATTCTTAAAGTAAACTGAACTTCATGAAAAACTCACTGTAGCATCCTTGTGTTACTACAAACCAGTCAACATTTAATCACAGACTGTTAATAATCCACAGCAGTGTTTGGAACCAAAGGCCTATGCCCCAAGGAGGAGGGAGCAATTGAGTTGGAGCTTGAAAAGCAGAATTCAGTTAAGCAGAGCCAGAATTCAGTTAATTCAGATCCAGTAGAATGTCCAGCACCAACGGTGGAGGTGATGGTGGTCAAACCCACATCTCCAGCAAAAGACGCAGACGTCAAGCTTCCAACTAAGCAAGAGCATGGGGCTATCCAGCTCTACCAGGGTCAGCTGTTCTTCTCTGGGCAGGGCTCTCGCATTCATTACCGTATCTAAAATACCGGTAATTCCTATTTTGCAAGGCGAATGAGGAAAACACATGAAGGAATATACATTATAAGTACTCGTTAAATTCATGTGTTGCACAAGTGCGGGGTATCATACAGGGAACAGTGGGAAATGGAGGTACGGGGTAGAACGACGCTCCTGAAAAGAGGAATCTTTGGGGCTTGAAGTTTCGGGAATTCTTCTACTAGGCAAAAGATAAACATTTAGAAATCATTCCCAGGAGAGAGGCGAGGAGCGGGGTGGGAGGGGACTAGCACAGGGGACAGCTCCGAGCCTTTCTCCAGGGAGGATGCTGAGCGCGGTCGCGGACCCGTTGAAGGATCTCCTTTCCTGCAAGTTGGCGTGTGCTGGACGAAAAGGGAAAGCAGAGGGGAAGGGCCTTGGAGAAAAAGGCGAGTACAGAAAACGAAGAGGGCACAAAGCTCTCTTCTAAAAGATTTTTATTTCTAAACAGTCAGTCCCTTCTTCGAATATGGGATGAAAAGTACGGATCTTTTCCTCAAAAAATCCTCCGTTGCACCCCGAAGCCCATCTGAGCATCCTAAGAAGTCCGCCTCTCTAGGGAGAGGGGGCGCCTGCGGCGGGCTCCCCCCAGCATCCTCTTTCTGGAGCCCCCCTGCCCGGTCCGCAGGACACTGTTCTCCGCAGAACCCTCCCTCCCCGCCCCGCCTGTCTGGCCTGCGGAGCTCCCCTCCCAGCCGCCCTACTCCCGGACCTGAGAGACACGTCTCCGCGGCCTCGTCGTCCCACGGCCCGGCCACGCGCGCAGGTTTGGTTCCACACGGGCGGTCCAAAGGGCTCGGAACGGGCCCACTGGTCTCTTCAAAAAATCTCTACCAGGCGCGGACACGCAGTGGTTTCATTGGGTTGGCTGCCCCTCGGTCCGGAGGTAGCGCCGCGCCGCCACCCGGCAGCCGCGCCCCTAGCCTTTGCGGAGCTGGAGGACAATCACTAATTACCGCCGCGCGCAGCGCCGCGGGGAACCACCGCCCCCTTCGGCCAGGAGTGCGGGGCATGCGCAGTGCGACCCCGGAACCCGGCTCCGCAGACGGATCCGCTTTTCCGCGTGTTCGCCGACTCCGCGGGGGCGTGGCGCGGCCTAGCGCACTCTGAGCCGCTGGGGGGTCGTTTCCTCCAGGCCTTACTCGGTAGCCAGGGGCCCCGCGGCCAGCTGTGGCCGCTGCTGGGAGCCGGGTCATAAGAGGTAGCGGGATGTTTCTGATGCTGCTCTGGCACATGAGTCCCGGGTCCTTCAGGGAGGGTCCCGAGCCACTCGGGTTTCGCTCTTGGGACAAAGGCCTGGCTCGTGCGCGGGGCGGGGCCACGGCCCCAGAAGAGAGCTAGCAGAGCGGCGGCTTTGCACAGGGGTTCAAGAGTGTGGTGGAGCCAGAGGGCCGCAGGGGGGCGGGGCTGCCTTCGTCTGGCCCTCGGCTGCCTGCGAAACGCGGACCGGGTGATGCCCCAGGAGAAACCACTCTAGTAGTTCCGCTCGGAGGGCGGAAGTGCGCGTCTCAGTGTGTGCGGCTGACCAGTTAGCGACATGGTGGCGCCCGTGCTGGAGACTTCTCACGTGTTTTGCTGCCCAAACCGTGTGCGGGGAGTCCTGAACTGGAGCTCTGGGCCCAGAGGACTTCTGGCCTTTGGCACGTCCTGCTCCGTGGTGCTCTATGACCCCGTGGTAAGAGGTCGCTGGACCCCTGGCCCTTGTGCTTTTGAGGTTGAACCTGTGGACGTGCACCGGGCGCGCTGTAGTTGCCGCCCCAGACCTAGGAGGCGAGTCGGGTCGTCTCAGGGGAGCGGGGTTTGGGCTCAGTCTCCAGTGGACCTGTCGGACTCGCTCCTCGCCCCTCACCCTTCGCCGTCTCACGCGTGGCGTCATCCTAGGGTCATTGCTGCCTATCACCTGCCAGTAACTTGTTAGTCGCAGACAGAAACCCTAATGATGAGAATCTTACCTGAAGCCTTCTTTGGGGAACTGTAGTACCGTTAATCAATTTGGGTTTTAAAACAATTGAAATTTATATGTAAATTAAAACCATCATCCCACAGGTGCGATCTCATTTCTGTGTTTCCTTCAGTTTTGGTTCATGAACTTTTGTTGTATTGAATTTCAAGGAAATGTTACCTGTGTTTTAGCTACGGGAATGAACATTTTAGAGAAAGTGATAGTTTGGGGGAAAGATCATAGGGGATGGGGATCCTAAGCCCTGGTTAGAAGGCGGGACTTTCCTCGACTTCACCCAGTCGATTATTTTCTTGGCGCTTTCCTTACCATATTTCTCCAGTGAATAGTTTTTGTATCCTCCCCAGAATTCATTGTAACCCCATTCCCACTGGCTAATTTAGGTCGATACAGTTAGTCTTGCATCTCAAAAGGAGGCTCAGTATAAAAAATAAAATGTTGAAAATTAAAATACAATGTAGGAGATGGCTATATGTATTTCTGATCATACTGCTTTATTGATTTGATTAAAAATTTCATTATTGGCCAGGAGCGTGTCTCATGTCTGTAATCCTGGCACTTTGGGAGGCAGAAGTGGGAGCATTGCTTGAGTCCAGGAGTTCGAGACCAGTTTAGGCAACAGAGCGAGACCCCCAGTCTACAAAAAGTTAAAAAAAAAAAAAAAAAGCTGGGTGTGGTGGCGTGCGCCTATAGTCCCAGCTACTCGGGAGGTTGAAGTGAGAGGATCGCTTGAGCTCAGGAGTTTGAGGCTGCAGCGGAGTGGGATCACACCACCGGACTCCAGCCTGGGCCAGACCCTATCTCAAAAAAAAAAAAAATTATTCTCACACCCTTTGCAGATTCAAATATATATATGAAATATTTTTATCCACATTACCCCATCTTGAGCTTGCTTGCCTCTTCCTGGTTTTTGTTTCTTGTTATTTGCATACTTGAATGGCAAGATAAAGTGCAAAAAACAAGGGTAAACTTTAAAGGGACCATGAGGCAAGGACCGGCTGTAGAATGGGAGAGACCACAGCAGGCTCTCCATCATTTCCCACAGCGTCTCCTCATCCAGCACCGTGAGCGCGGAGCCTTGCGGCATTGCGGCACAGTTCCGCCATGGCTGGGCACTGGGAGGACCCTAGGAGGGCGGCTCTGGGGGTGGAGTTGTCAGGGAAGCAGGAGCCCGGGAGAGCCAGGGTGACACCATTTTAAAATCAACTCCGTCGTAAAATTAGCAAGGCACACTCTTTGCCAGTCAACCCACGGTCCTGAGATGTTTACGGCAGAGGAAGCAGCTTGGTAACGCCTGCAAGGACAAACTCCCACAACGAAAAATGTCCAGATGCCCAGATATCACAGGACAAGATCTGTTTTTAAGATGATTATACTCATGCTTTGATGTACTTACACACTGAAATGAAATTCTGATTCAGCTGTAGAATCCCATCTTTTTGCAGCAGTTGAATGGATTTGTTCCCATGTATTCCATCAGATTTTAAATCATAACCTGGTGGCTGAGCTAGTGAATTTTAGCCTATTGACAAAGAAGTGTTGAGCCTAAAAAGTACTTTGTCCTGTTAAATATTTGCTGGTTGGGCTTTTTTTTTTTTTTTTGGAGTGTAGTGACACAATCTCTGCTCAGTGCAACCTGCAACTTTCACCTCCCAAAATCAAGTGATTCTTGTGCCTCAGCCTCCCTAGTAGCAGGGATTACAGGTGTGCACCACCACACCTGGCCAATTTTTGTGGTTTTTTTTTTTTTTTTGAGACGGAGTCTTGCTCTGTAGCCCGGGCTGGAGTGCAGTGGCCGGATCTCAGCTCACTGCAAGCTCCGCCTCCCGGGTTTAGGCCATTCTCCTGCCTCAGCCTCCGGAGTAGCTGGGACTACAGGCGCCCGCCACCTCGCCCGGCTAGTTTTTTGTATTTTTAGTAGAAACGGGGTTTCACGGTGTTAGCCAGGATGGTCTCGATCTCCTGACCTCGTGATCCGCCCGTCTCGGCCTCCCAAAGTACTGGGATTACAGGCTTGAGCCACCGCGCCCGGCCCAATTTTTGTGTTTTTAGTAGAGACGGGTTTTACCACATTGGCCAGGCTGGTCTCAAACTCCAGGCCTCCCAAAGTGCTGGGATTAAAGGCATGAGCCACCGCACCTGGCCTCGATTGAACTTTTAAGTAAATATGGGAATAAAAGCATGTCAAATGCTAAAATAAAGTTTTGGGAATGATGCTCATTCAGCAAATCTTCGACAACCATCTGTGGGTTGGCCCTGGGCTGAGTGATGATGACACAAGGTAATGAGTGGTAACTTGTGGCCACCAAGAAATTCTCAGTCTAGTGGGAGAGACAGTGAAATACAGTAAATTGCTTTCCAGCCTCAAATAACCTATATGTAAAATATATTAGTTTATGCACATTTGCCTTTTTCTTAGCCATGAGAATTCTAGTTGGTATATAAGCAGATAACAAAGCCATTGCCATTGACAACAGATAGAGAAAGGGGCTGTAAAGAGGAAGGTGCGGTAGTCACAGTTAAAATCTTTAGTGATGTGTGAAGTATGAGAGCTCCAAGTGTGGGGTGAGGTTGGTGAAAGCAACCTGTTGAGGATCTGTGGGGAGCCTGGCAATAGGCCCTGTAGGAATCTGATGTGTGAGGACTTTAGTAGTTGTGGCCTTGTGACATTGTGCCACTGGGTCTGAAAAACCCACCATCTCATTGACCATGGCATGCAAAGTGAACTGTGCTTGTACCCATTAATCACAGATTCCTCTATTGAAGGGCTTTTTTTTTTTTTGTCAGAGAAACCCTCAGATTGGTGCAAGCATAGTAGGCCTACTTCCACAAGGAAGCAGCTACTTGTCTAGCTTGGTGTGTCAGGACAGGCTGCCCAGGTGAGAGGGATTGGGCATTGTAGGAGAGTGAGCAAAAGCAGGTGGATGCAGACCCAAGAGTTCAGTGTAATGGGAGTACAGAATGCTGGGAATGTGGAGTCTCAAGAAAGGCAGGACTGATTTAGAGGAGTGGATAACTTAAGCCATGGTTAAAAGTTTATGGATTGAAGAAGGCAAATCTGTTTGATGTAATCCTGATGTTTTTACTAGTATCGAAAACACTGAAATCTGTTTTTACTTACTTATTAATTTTTCTGTAGGATAAATTCCAGTTTACTAACTGGTATTTTCTTCTTTAAAGAAAAGGGTTGTTGTTACCAACCTGAATGGTCACACTGCCCGAGTCAATTGCATACAGTGGATTTGTAAACAGGATGGCTGTAAGTATTAACCAGATTGTTAAAGTTGATCTCAATTGCTTTCTGATAAAGTATGGTTAGCTATTTTTTTCTCATCACTTCTCTTAATTTAGCATCACCTTATATGATGTTATACAATTGGAGAAACAGAAGAAAAATGGTATTCTCAGTGAGAAATCTGAACTGTATTTTTACTTCGTAGCAGTTGAAGCTTGGATTATACAGCAGTGCTTAGGATGAGGTTAGTGCAGCCCTAGACTTGGGCAGGATCCCGTCCCACTTCCCCAGTTGCCCATAACCTTTGTTAAAAAACTTGTAAGCAGGGCCTAGACTGAGGCTATGTTTCAGAGACTTGGTTTCTTGGTCTGTTTCTGCCATAAACAAGCTATTGTTTTTTCTTTTTATTTTTTCTTTTATTTATTTAAAATTTTAGATTTTTTTTTTGCCAACTGGTTGGAGACGAGAATATTTATTTTTTTTAGAGACAGGATCTCACTTGTTGCCCAAGCTGGAATGCAGTGGCTCCATCAGAGTTCCCTGCAATAGCTGGGACCACAAGTGTGTGGCACCATACCTCTCTAGGTTTTTAGTTTTTTTTTTTTTTTTTGAGACGAAGTCTCACTCTGTCCCCCAGGCTAGAGTGCAGTGGCGCGATCTCGGCTAACTGCAAGCTCCACCTCCCGGGTTCACACCATTCTCCCTCCTTGCTGTGTAGCCCAGGCTTGTCTCATACCCCTAACCTCAAGCAGTCTTCCCTCCTTAGCCTCCCAAAGTGCTGGGATTATAGGATGAGCTACTATACCCAGCCAGCTATTGCTTTTTTAGGCAAGACATTACATCTCTACTGACCCTAGTTTGCCCATCTGAAATAATAACATCTGAAACGTAAAAGATCAGACTAGATCAAGAGTGTCTTAGAGGTTTGTAAGACCTATGAGATCAAATTATTTTCATAATGATATCAAGAAGTTATTCACAGTATTCATTCTTATTCTGTCATGAATGTACAGTGTTTTCCAGCAGCCACATGATGTATGATACTGCAGCAGATTAAATACAGAAGCAGATAGGAAAATCCAGCTATATTCTAATAAAATCATATGTTAAAGAGATTTGTAGGAGTGTAAAATAGTTCCTCTCTTTCATTAAGTTTTTGTTTTGGAAACCATTGGGGTTTTTCCCCATCAAAATGTTATATATGTTCACACATCATGGAACCCTAAGTAAATGGTTAAATACATATTTTTCGTATTTCTCAGTTTTAATTTCTAATGTGGTTAATATTGGTACATATGGTTCATATAATCAAAAGCTTTTTGGGGTCCTCAAAAATTGTAAGACTGTAAAGGAATTCTAAGACCAACAGTTTTGAAAATTTCTGGGCAAGATTATCTTCAGGTCTCTTCCCTCTCTTAAGATTCTGACTCCAGAATTTTCAGTTAAAATATTGGTTGCCTTTAGATGGTGCTCTCAAAATCCTATGATATTTCTTTAGTTGCTTTAAATATACCTACTGCAGTGTAGTTATGGGTTCTGAATTAGTTTTATTTTTCATTCCACACTCATTTGAGGGCATTTTGAGCCAGGCACAAATACAAAGTTTTCTGAATTATTAAGTCTTTGCTATGATTTTATAAATGATGTTTAAAAAAGTTTAATAAGCTACTTATTTCATTTGGTTCTGTAGGATTAGTCACGTGTTAGGTCAATAAAAATCATTAAATGGTACAAGGGATGACTGTTAGTGTGGATAATAAAACATAATTGCAATTATATTAATTGCCACCAGATAACATCAAAGACTGACTCTCAGAATAGGAATTTGTTATAAAATATTAATTTAGGCTTGTATGTTTTATCTTCCTTTTAAAAGTGAGGTTACATAAAATGAATTGCTTGTGTATTACTGTAATCTATAACTATTATGATTGATTTCCTTTAATTGAACTGTCAGATAATGCAGATAGCCTTTCCAACCATTTGTCAGTGATATATAAAATTTTAATATCATTTGGTATTTTTAATATGTCTGAATTTTAACATTACTTTTATGTATAGACATTCTTAAAATCATATAGTTAGTTAAGTGGCTTAATTACTGTGACGCATGAAGTTGAGGCCCATGATCACAGTTGGCTGGCAGCAGAGTTAGGACATGAACCTGGGCCTTCTGAGTTCAAATCTAATGCTCTTTAGTCCAGCTGCTTCCCTGAAACAAATAAAAAGAAAATCCAAACCCAAATTAGGTTATTTACCCCTTTTTTGGGGTACTACTTTTTCTTCTGTTATCACTGAGAAGTTGCAAGTGTTTAAAAGATCTATTTTGAAGTAGGTCTCTAATTTCAACAATAAGTCATATTCTTGGTAGTAGCACCTGACTACAATGTTTCATATAATGTTCCTGCCAAGAGTGTTTAGCCTGTATCTAATCATGAGGAAACAATCAAACAGATTGAGGGACATTCTGCAAAATAACTGCTGGCTACTATCATTGTCACAAAATTGAGGGGGACTAGGAAACTATTCTAGATAAAAGGAGACTAAAAAGGTGTGATATCCAGACATTCAGTGTATTTCTTTAGATTCTGAATCCCAAACAAAAATAGTTTTGAAAGGCATTCCTGAGACAATTAGGACATTTTAATATGGACAGTATATTATATAATAATACTTATCAATGTTAGACTTTTTGAATGTGATAATTGTATTGAGGTAATATAGGAGAATATTTTCGTCCTTAGGAGATGTATGGTCTTTGAGGATCAGAGATCACAGTGTCTGCCACTTACATTTAAGTAGTTTGCCTCCTAAAAAGTGTGTATGTGTACGTATATAGAGGAAGAGTAAGATATTAAGCAAATATGGCAAAATGTTACCAGTTTGTGAATCTAGGTAGAGGGTACAGGGGTATTGTTTTTTGGTGTAGCTTGGAAATTTTAAAAAATTGCAGAAAAAATGAATAAAGATATTTACTGAGATATAATTTTTTTCAGCCCCTTCTACTGAATTAGTTTCTGGAGGATCTGATAATCAAGTGATTCACTGGGAAATAGAGGATAATCAGGTGGGTAGACATGTTTATAATCATAAGAAATGACTTTTTTTGTTTGTTTGTTTTTTAAGAGGTAGAGTCTCACTCTGTCACCCAGGCTGACGTGCAGTTGTGCAATCGTAGCTCACCTCAGCCTGCTAAGTAGCTGGGACTACAGGTGCCTGACACCATGCCTGGCTGATTTTTGCGTGTGTGTGTGTTTTTTGTTTTTTGTTTTGTAGAGATGGGGTCTTACTTTGTTGCCCAGGCTGGTCTCAGAAGTGACTTTTATGTTTACTTTTATTTTTAATTTTTTTCTTCAACTGTGTTGTTCTTTTATGAAGTTAATCTTGCTCATCAGCAACACAAATGCTGTGTCTTTTGTACTACACAGGCCCCGTACCCTTTGCTCTGATTTCTACTCCCATGTTTGTATGCTGTTAACTGTCTCTGTGAATTTCCTGTCATTTTGGAATAATTTTCAAACTATTCTTACTTGGGCTGATCTGTTTTCAATGCTTGTGGCATACGAATATAGATTTACAAGACTCTCCTCAGTGCCACCCCACCCTTCTGTCTTGTTATGTTTTTAAAAATTCTCTGATTAAGCTATAACTGTGCTTAAAGATGTGAAATGAGTATTTTCAATAGATTTAATTTTTTTAGGGGGTAATGTCAGACTTGTTTAAAAAAAAAGATTATAAATACGAAAAGTACAAAGAAGGAAAAACCTATACAAAATCTGAGCAGAGTGAACTTTCTGAAGAATGTCATTCCACGTCTCTAGTTATATGTGTATAATTATGCATAACAGAAATTATATTGTATCCGAGGATTTTTTAAGCGTTTTTGAGGTGAGATCTGGCTGTGTTGCCCAGGCTGGAGTGCAGTGGCTGTTCATAGGTAAGATGATAGTGCACTATAGCCAAGGACTCCTGGACTCAGGTGATACTCCTACCTCAGCCTCCCAAGTAACTGGGACTGCTGGCACACAGCACTGCACCTGGCTTAAGTGTTTTTTCCAAGAAGTCAAAGGCTAATCATTCTAAAGAAAGTTAGTGTACAGACCCTTATACATGAGTATTATGTGCACCTTCTTTGGTGGCAGAATTCTGTTTTAAGTATTAGAATTGGAAAAACAAATGAGGAGACATTTAAGGAACGCCACTATTTCAGCAGACAGTTTATAGAAGATGCCTTTTGAAAGAAGTGGTGGAATGTCACACATTTGAAACTTAAAAAAAGATGAACCCAAAACATCAGTAGAAGGGATGCCAGAGGGAATAATCTTGATGGCAAGTAGATAGACTTGATAAGCAAATGGGATTTCCCACTTCTCTTTGCTTTTTTTCTGTTTTGCAGTCCTACTTGAATTAGGCAAGTATCATGAGTAGATGCTAAAAGTACTTAGTACAAGTTTGATGGGGAATAGAATGTTTACTCAGTGCCAAAGTATACTCATATTACCACCAAAAAAAAAAAAAAAAAAAAATTAACATCACAGTGAAGAAAACTGGCAGACAATACTTCTACTAAATATGAAGGTTAACATCACTAAAACTTGGACAGACTGAAACCATGTGCCTCCTGATGGGATGTGCTTATGTAGTAATGCTGTCAAAATGTATATTCTGAGTCTCTTCATAATGAAAATCACATAATCCAAAAAGAGGAACATTCCACAAAGTTGACCTATATTCTTCAGAATACCTATTATCTTCTCAGAGTAGATTCCTAGATATGAGATTGCTGTGTCACAGGGTATTTACATTTTGTGTGTTGTTAACATGGTCAGACAGACTTCTTGAAAAGTTTTATTCTTTTCAACTTAGAGGACCTATTTTTGGCTCAGCCGTTTTATTGGCATCTTTATCCAATTAAATAAAGGTTAAAAAAAATCCTTTTTTTTTTTTTCCACAACGCTTCTGTCATTCTCTCTGATTCAGCTTTTAAAAGCAGTCCATCTTCAAGGCCATGAAGGACCTGTTTATGCGGTGCATGCTGTTTACCAGAGGAGGACATCAGATCCTGCATTATGTACACTGATCGTTTCTGCAGCTGCAGATTCTGCTGTTCGACTTTGGTCTAAAAAGGGTTCAGAAGGTAGGTTTGGAGACATGATAATCCAGACAAACGAAATAATATTTAACAAATGAATGACGAGCAGAAGAGCATATATATATTTTTTTAAAACTTTCAAGCAACTTTAAAAATACTATAATTCTAATCTAAATTTTTCTTTTGCACTTATTTAAAATTCTCTATACCATAACTTTTTCATGTAAGTCATTTTGCTCTCTGTAACATTGTTAAAATTTGGCCATTTAACTTCACATGGTCAGTGGGGGCTCAGGATTGACTTCTCTCATCTCCCTTCTGCTACCTGGGGCTGTGATGATGCTATCCAACCTGTCTAGTTGGATAAGCTCTGAGGTAGTTGTTCATTGTGTTTTTTATTATTTCTTAGTAACGTGCCTTCAGACTTTAAACTTTGGAAATGGATTTGCTCTGGCTCTCTGCTTGTCTTTTTTGCCAAATACTGATGGTGAGTATCCTGTTAAGTATATATTAAAAGAGCAGTATATTTGCATATTGTCATATGATTAGAACCTAAAAGAAATGTATTGGGTCTTAATTTTGTATCTAAATGTTTCTGTGAAACAAGATGTGAATAACATACTTTTATCATAATATTCAAGTGATCTGAGTATAGAACATAAAGTTAAGGGCTTATTAGGATTTTGATAGCTATTGATAATTTAAGTGACTTACTATATACTTAAGAGTGATACTGTTAGTTATCAAATATACTGTGGATGTGTATGGATCTATGGACGTGTATGGAATGAGAGGAAAGTATCTCATTCTTTAGAAGGTGAAGGTCTGGGGTAAGTTGAAAAAGTTTTGAATGAGGCCGGGCGCGGTGGCTCAAGCCTGTAATCCCAGCACTTTGGGAGGCCCAGGCGGGCGGATCACAAGGTCAGGAGATCGAGACCACAGTGAAACCCCGTCTCTACTAAAAATACAAAAAATTAGCCATGCGCGGTGGCGGGCGCCTGTAGTCCCAGCTACTCAGGAGGCTGAGGCAGGAGAATGGCGGGAACCCGGGAGGCGGAGCTTGCAGTGAGCCGAGTTCGCGCCACTGCACTCCAGCCTGGGCAACAGCGTGAGACTCCGTCTCAAAAAAAAAAAAAAAAAAAAAAAAGTTTTGAATGAAGGTGACATATGAGCATTTCTCTCAGAATGATGGCCCCTTCACATCCCGCATAATGACATTTTGCCCAAGACCATTTAAAATCTGCAAACAGAAAAATTTCCCTTTTGCTGTGAAACCTATCTGTACTTATCTTTGAGTATCTTCTACAAAGATAATAGCCAGTGTGAGTGAGTCAGCCTCTTTGCCTCCACAGTTACCTGGAAGACAGGCCAGGTGAAAAGAGGCAGGGCCTGGAAGCCACCAGCCTCTCTCGCCCTCTGTAGCAGGAGCTGCAACTCCATGGTTTCATGTTATGTTCCATTTTGTGCAAGGCTCTGTAGAAGGGGAAGCTGCACACATTCTGGCATCATAACAGAATTTCATTTCTTCCATCTGCATTCAGGCCAAGTAACTGGAGTTTTGTTTTTATTGTTTTTCTTTTTCTTTTTTTTGTAGTTGATCTAAAGTAAGAAAATCTTTGAAAAACACACTTGGTGGCAAGGCATGTCCTTAGAGAAAGTCTCTACTATATCTAGCAGAATCATCAGGGCTGCCCTTTGGCAATGCAAATTATTAATGATTTTTTATCTTATTAAAATAATTTTTTTTTTTTTTTTTTTGAGACGGAGTCTCGCTCTGTCGCCCAGGCTGGAGTGCTGTGGCCGGATCTCAGCTCACTGCAAGCTCCGCCTCCCGGGTTTACGCCATTCTCCTGCCTCAGCCTCCAGAGTAGCTGGGACTACAGGCGCCCGCCACCTCGCCCGGCTAGTTTTTTGTATTTTTTAGTAGAGACGGGGTTTCACCGTGTTAGCCAGGATGGTCTTGATCTCCTGACCTTGTGATCCGCCCGTCTCGGCCTCCCAAAGTGCTGGGATTACAGGCTTGAGCCACCGCGCCCGGCCTTATTAAAATAATTTAACAGTCACATCTTTCATAGCTTTTTAAAATTTTTAAATTTAAAATTTATTTATTTTTTAGAGATAAGGTCTCATTTTGTCACTCAGGCTTGAGTGCAGTGGTGATCTATAGCTCACTGCAGCCTCAAACTCCTAGGCTCAGGTGATTTTCCCACCTCAGCCAAGTAGCTGGGACTACAAGCATGCTCCACTATACCCAGCTAATTTTTTTATTCTTGTAGAGACAGGGTCTGTTTATGTTGCCCAGTCTGGTCTTGGACTCCTGGCTTGAAGTGGTTCTCCTGTCTCAGCCTCCCAAAGTGCTGGGATCACAGACATGAACCACTGTGTCTGGATCCCCTTGCATAGCTTTTTAAATTTTTTATTTTATTTTTTTGACACAGGGTCTCATTCTGTTGCTCAGGTTGGAGTGCAGTGGTGCCATCACAGCTCACCTCAGCCCCCTGAGTAGCTGGGACTCCAAGCACATGCCACCATGCCTAATTGCCTTGTATAGCTTTTTAGCCACATGCTTAATTACGTGCTCTTTTATTTATTTTTATTTTTATTTCTATTTTTTGGGATGGAGTCTTGCTCCATTGCCCAGGCTGGAGTGCAGTGGTGCGATCTCGGCTCACTGCAATCTCTGCCTCCTGGGTTTAAGTAATTTTCCTGCTTCAGCCTCCCGAGTAACTGGGATTACAGGCATATGCCACCACGCCCAGATAATTTTTGTATTTTTGGTAGAGACGGTTTTGTCATGTTGGCCAGGCTAGTCTCAAATTCCTGACCTCAGGTGATCCGCCCACCTCAGCCTCCCAAAGGATCACGCCCTAGGATTACAGGCATGAGCGACTGCACCCAGCCTTTTATTTTGTTTTAAACAAAGTAAAACATAATTCAAACAAAACATAAGGTCCTCAAATTAACAAACATACCCTTAAATCTGTGTGCATTAGCCATGATGCTAGGGCTCATAGTAGCTGTTCATTATTTAGTTGTCTTAACAACCTTTCCTCTTGGTCTTCGGGCTGACATGGTGAAAATACTCTCTAGTTGCTCTCGAGCGTAATTTTCACTTCTATCATAAATGTCATAGAATGGAGAGAAGGACTGGATTCTTATTTAATAGTCATTATAATTACCAAGTAACCACTGAATAGATCATTTGAGTGTTCATTTTATTCCTGCAGACATTTATTGAGCATTTTCAATTATTCATATAGTGGTGTGGGAAATTGAAGTCAGGATTCTTTACCTAGCGCTTACAATCCAGTACAGCTGATAATCATAACATGTAGTGGAATAGGGAACTCACAGTGAAGCCTGTTTTTTTTTCCCCAGTACCAATATTAGCATGTGGCGATGATGATTGCAGAATTCACTTATTTGCTCAACAAAATGATCAGGTAATAATGTTTATTAAGAGGCTAGAATTATATTCTGCTTAGTTATATCTCAATACGGACTATATCCAGATTATAGAATTTTAGAGAATGTTCTAATCTAAACCAAAATAATCCAGTAGAATCTTTTTTTGATAGTCCTCTGTTAAGATGGTTGTCTACTCTGAACACCAAGTAACCACTGCCTTGATCATCAGGCTCAGAGTTGTTAGGGGGAAACAGGTCATTAGGTAGGGGAGGAGAGATGGAAGATGCTGTGGTAGTTGTTTTTCTCTTAAAAATTTAAACAAGTTACAACATACGTACAGTGAAGCATTCCTAGAAGTATTTATTTGCCCTTCTGAGCTTTACTTAGATTTTAAGTGATTAAACTAAAGGAGAGAAATTTAGAAAGGGATTGGTTAACTCTAAACTCATTTATTTAATAGTGAGGATACTTGTTTCTTTGCATTCTATAAGAAGGTTAAAAATGGTTGTGAAAGTTCAGCTATTCAACTTTTTTTTTTTTTTTTGAGACAGAGTCTTGTTCTGTCTCCTGGGCTGGTGCAGTGGTGAGAACATGCGTCACTGTAATCTTGACTTCCTAGGCTCAAGCAGTCCTCCTGCCTCAGCCTCCTGTGTAGTTGAGACCACAGGCATGTATCACCATGCCTGGCTAATTTTAAAATTTTTTGTAGACACAGGATCTCACTTTATTGCCCAGGCTGGTCTCAGTCTCCTGGCCTGAAGTGATAGTCCCACCTCCTCAGCCTCCCAAGGTATTAGGATTATAGATGTGAGCCACTGCCCAACCCACCTGTTTTTCTATATTATATCTACAGTATGTATCATTTTATATCATAAACATTTAAAATATTTGAGATTACAAATATTATATTATCTACTCAGAGGTGCTCCAGTTAGTGATTTAGATATCATGTGATGGGTTTTTCATTCCCAAAGGAATGCTTTTTCCTGTCTAATCAAATAGTGTTCTCAGTAAAAGAGCAATGCAGTAGGATTGTCTGAGACCAAATGATGTTACTGGTATACATGAAGATGTTAAATTCTTATAGCAAGCCCAATGATTTTTATCTTACTAGTTTCAGAAAGTGCTTTCTCTCTGTGGACATGAGGATTGGATTAGAGGAGTGGAATGGGCAGCCTTTGGTCAGTATGAAATTTTGCTAATGCACATACAGTGGGAACAAGTATGTGTTACTTCCAATAAAGCAGCCTTTTATGTTTTAATTTTTAAGTTTTCTTTGTATGTTATGTTTTTCTATTGTCCCAATTAGAAAGGAGGATGCTTATCCCTTCTGTTAATTGCTAGTTGGGTGGTAGATGATTAAATAAATTGATATTTATTAGATGACACTAGCTGTCTTGTTCACCTGCAGACCTTCTTGAAAAGTTCTTTGTAGAACTTAGTAGACTATATATGAGTATTACATGTTATAAACATGTATTAGCATTGTATGCATATTTTTCAATGTCACTAAAAATGAATATAGATCAAATGAATTGGAGGGTAAGGAAACAAAGTGTTTTTTTTGGGGGAAATTAGAAATATATATATTATAGAGAAAAAAGTCTTATACATAAACTTCACAATATGTTTTAAAATTAATATTTAATATTATTTTTTAATTAGGTAGAGATCTTTTCCTAGCAAGCTGTTCACAAGATTGCCTAATAAGAATATGGAAGCTGTATATAAAGTCAACATCTTCAGAAACTCAGGATGCCGATAACATAAGACTGAAAGAAAATACTTTTACCATAGAAAATGAAAGTGAGTAATAATGAAAATATCTGATAGAACAATACTTAGGTCTCTTAGTTGGTTGATTTTTTTTTTCACCACCCACCTATGTGAAGGTTAGTTTTTCACAAGTGTTAGATTCCTAGATTCCTATTTCTTTTTTCTTTCTTTCTTTTTTTTTTTTTTTGAGACAGAGTTTCGCTTCTTCCCCTAGGCTGGAGTGCAGTGGCGTGATCTTGGCTCACTGCGACCTCTGCCTCCCGGGTTTGAGCAATTCTCCTGCCTCAGCCTCCCAGGTAGCTGGGATTACAGGCACGCATCACCATGCCTAGCTAATTTTATTGTATTTTTAGTAGAAATGGGGTTTCACCATGTTAGCCAGTCTGGTCTTGAACTTCTGACCTCAGGTGATCTGCCTGCCTCAGCCTCCCAAAGTGCTGGGATTACAGGTGTGAGCCGCTGTGCCTGACCTCTTTTTGTTTTTTTTTGAGACATCTTACCCAGGCTGGAGTGCACTGGTATAATCACAGCTCACTGCAGCCTTGAACTCCTTGGCTCAAATGGCTTAGCTTCCTGAGTAGCGAGGACTACGCCATCACACCCAGCTAATTTTTAATTTTTTTTGTAGTGATGGAGTCTTGCTATGTTGCCCAGGCTGTTTTTCAACTACTGGCCTCAAATGATCCTTCCACCTTGGTGTCCTAAAGTGTTGGGATTACAGTTGTGGGCCACCATTCTTGGCGTGATACTTTGTATTTTCCCATTTTTATGTGAGAGTGAGTCATTTTTCATATGTGAAATAGTTTTCTTCTAAACCATATTAGTAAGATTTTTTAAGTTGCTGAGAATAATGTTTTGTGTTCTCAATAATTTGTAAAATATTACTAGATTTGCAGTTTTAGCATAGGAAGACCTAAAGGAATAATGTAAATTACTTATACATTTTATTGGCCTATAATAAAAGACAAGCTAAATCTCACCATTTGAGTAGTATATTTAATTCTGATTTTCCTATTGTCTAGCCTTAGAACAGAATCCCTGCATGGTAGATGCTGTTGGGATGTTGTTTTTGAAAGAGATGTTTTTGGATGTGTCAGTTATAAAGGGAGTTCTCAGCATTGTTCACCTAGGTGTATTCTGTTTTTTGTTACTATTCTTGGTTGTAAAGTCCATCAGAGTTGAGATTTTAGTGACAGTTTTATGGGGAGAATGAAGAAATTATATAACCAGCATATTAGGAGTAGCTATACCCAAATATTAATTTTTTTCTATTTTCATTATATTGTTTGAAAGGTCAAAATACTGGTTTCATTTTCTTTATTTCTGCATTTATCCTTTAAAAAAATGGGATTTGTAGTTGTCCATTCTTATGCTTCTATAAAGAACTTCCCAAAACTGGGTAATTTGTAAGAGAAAGAGGTTTGCTTGACTCACAGTTCTGCAAAGCTGAGGAGGCTTCAGGAAACAAATTCATAGCAGAAGGGGAAGCAGGCATCTTCTTCACAGGGCATCTCCCACCAGATCCTTTCCTTGACAGGTGGGTCTTGGAGGGATTACAATTCAAGATGAGATTTAGGTGAGGACACAGAGCCAAACCATATCAGTATTTTGGGCTATTATATTCTTACAGTGAGTGAGGATAATAAGGAGGCTGGCATGACTTTTTCTTTCCTCATGGTAGTTTAACAGTGGCTGTCTCAGAAAATTGTAAAAACAGAAGATTTTCCTTCATATTTATTTAAGACCAGCTAGAACAAAATATAAGGAAAAATGTCTAACTTTTTCTCCTATAATTTTTAACAGCAGTTGAGGTTAAAGAAATTTAGAATGCATGTTCTTTTTTTGAATCCTAACTATCATATTTTGTCCTAATTTTTTTTTACATAATTGCCCAACTGGCTTGGTTATGGAAATTTTCTTTTTAGAAGAACTTTGAGGAAATAATACCTTCATTGCTTTTGTTATAGGTGTTAAAATAGCATTTGCTGTTACTCTGGAGACAGTGCTGGCTGGTCATGAAAACTGGGTAAATGCAGTTCACTGGCAACCTGTGTTTTACAAAGGTAGGAAGAAAACCATACACATATTCCTTACTCCAGTTAGATCTTACGGCATGGTAAGCTGACCAAATCAAGTGGAGAATTGTTTTAGTGTGATTAGAAATCTCAAATACAAGACATTTTCAAGTTGACAAAAAGTATAGTACTGCATTCCTGGTGTGCTAGACACTCAATCCCATTGAACATTGAACTCCTAAGTGGGAAAAGTGTGATTCCTGCCATGATGCTGAAACTACCACACCCCCATTAACTTTTTATCTTAGAAGTTTCCACTTGATTATTATGGAATTTAAGAAAAACTGACTTTCAGGCCAACTTCACTGGATCCTTTACCCTCGGTAATAACAAAGTTGGGACCACTCAGCTACATTATTTATGAGAAAGTAAGACTCTGTTACTGCTTCTTTCTTTTGCCCTTTATCTCCATTTATGGAGTGGCAGTTCTGTGCATGTTCAGGCTGGTGCTAGGTTTATAGCTAGATGAGGCATAGCCTCACATTCTTCCCTGGCCTCTTCCCCAAGGCAATAACAGCAATAATTAATTCTTAGGCAAACCACCATTCAGCTCTTCCTTACATTATGCCGTGTTTGCTATAATTTAAAAAACAAAAAAGTTGGAATTATAGATATTGAAGACCCCGTTGTATGTTCTTTCCTGAACATTTCCTCTTCATCCTTCTCTAGAGGCAATTACAGTACTGAATTCAGTGCATATCATTTTCATGCATGTTTTTATACTGTTGCTACACATCTATATAGCTATAAACAATATTGTTTTATAGCTATTAAAATGATACCAATATGTATTTATTCTTTTACAGCTTGCCTTTTTAGCTTGCCATGTTTTGGAGCTGTATCCACATCGATTTGTGAAGCTCTAGTTATTTGTTTTTATTGCATGGTAGTAGTCTATTGTCTGAATATCCTACAACCAATTTATCTCTTCTTCTAATGGTAGACATTTGTGGTGTTTGCAACTTTTTGCAATTACAGATAATGCTGCAGTGAACATCCTTGCAGTACCCATGTTGTTTGTTGTGTTTTTCTGGTCATCTACAAACATGATGCTTGTTGATCACCTAAAGGGATTAGGTTTTATTTTTTAGATGGTGTTCTACAGCAGCCAATGAGATTATTGTCTGCTTCCATGGATAAAACCATGATTCTCTGGGCTCCAGATGAAGAGTCAGGAGTTTGGCTAGAACAGGTAAGAGTGTTGGATATTTAAGGAACAGAAAATTAAGTTTTGAACTCTGTATTTAAATCCTAAGTCTATACTGATAGACCTGCAAATTTTCACTGTGTACATTAAAACAGTGGGAATTTAACAGTCTCTGTAATCAGCGGTTTCTGTTGTGAGAAATATAGACTATTGATTAAGAATTGTTTTCTGTCTGTTATTGTACAGGTTCGAGTAGGTGAAGTAGGTGGGAATACTTTGGGATTTTATGATTGCCAGTTCAATGAAGATGGCTCCATGATCATTGCCCATGCTTTCCACGGAGCGTTGCACCTTTGGAAACAGAATACAGTTAACCCAGTAAGAAAAGAGTGTTTAAATAAAGCATTTCTAGTCAAATAGAATGCATCCTAGGTAAATAATATTTTACTTATAACAGTCTAGAGAAACATAGTAGAGGCACTTTAAGTTCAAGTGACATAACTTTTTTCTGTAGACATTGTTAAGGTATTGAAATTTGCATGTAGGTAAATTTTCTACATAAGTGTACTGTATTCCTTTAAGCTATAGAATTTTTTAATGAGAATTTTTCTGAAATGTGTAACTTTCCTGTCTTCTTAAAAAATTAACATAATTGGATATCTTGTTGGACTGCTAGATCCCTATTATTGAATGAATGTCAGTAATTTATTGTGACTGACATTCAACACCTGGGCATGGTAGCTCATGCCTGTAATCTTAGGAACTTGAAAGGCTGAGATGAAGGATTGCTTGAAGCTAGGAGTTTGAAAACAGCCTTGGTGACAGAATAAGACCCTGTCTCCAAAAAAAAAAAAAAAGAGGTAGTCTTTTCTCTTTAGTCATGTAACTGTCTCTCTACAGCATTCCTTCTCTTACTTTGTAATCTCATTTGCTTCTGATCTGCTTCTAGTTTGGGAAAATTAGATAGCAAAAACAGAGTGGCCAAGAGCACAGGCCCTTTCTGCTAGACAGCCTGGGTTCACTTACTAGCTATGTGTCCTTGAGGACATTAGTTAATCCCTGTCTCAGGTTCCTCATTTGTAAAATATGGGTAGTTTTTTTTTTCTTTTTTTTTTTTTTAACAGGATCTCACTGTCACTCTGCGTGATCATAGCTCACTGTAACCTCATTCTCCTGGGGTTAAGCCATCCTCACGCTTCAACTTCCTGAGTAGCCAGGACTACAGGTGCACATCAGACCCAGCTAATATTTAAAAATTTTTTATAGACACAGGGTCTTGCTTTGTTGCCCAGCCTGGTCCTGAACTCCTGGCTTTCAAGTGATCCTCCTGCCTCAGTCTCCCAAAGTGCTGGGATTACAGGTGTGAGCCACTGCATCTGGCATGTGGATTGTTAATAGCATCTACTTACAGGGTGTTTTTTTGTTTTTTGTTTTTTGAGATGGAGTTTCACTCTTTTTGCCCAGGTTGGAGTGCAATGGCGTGATCTCGGTTCATTGCAACCTCTGCCTCCCAGGTTCAAGCAATTCTTCTGCCTCAGCCTCCTGAGTAGCTGGGATTACAGGCGCCTACCACCATGCCTGGCTAATTTTGTATTTTTAGTAGAGATGAGGTTTCACCATGTTGGCCAGCCTGGTCTCGAACTCCTGACCTCAGGTGATCCACCTGCCTTGGCCTCCCAAAGTGCTGGGATTACAGCTGTGAGCCACCGCACCCGGCCTGCTGGCAGGGTTTAAAGGCTTAAATGAGTTAACATTTATATGATATGCAAAACAAGGCCTGGCACATACTGGATGCTCTATAAGTGTATTTTATTTTATTATTGTTTTTAATTAACATTTACTGGCTTTTTATAAAGGATATTGCAAAGGAAACAGAGGAAGAGATATGTAGGGTGAGGTATGGGAGAAGGGGTGCCAAGCTTCCATGCTCTCCCTGGCCGTGCCACCCTCCAGGAACCTCCATGTGCTTAGCTATTCGGAAGCTCCCTGAACTGTGTCCTCTTTGGTTTTATGGCAGCTTCATGACATCAGCATTTTTTCCCCCAGAGTGGAACCCTCTCATGATTGGGTTTAAGACACACAATCAAACAGGTGGGGAAGATTAAAGGCCTGACCCTGAAGCCTAACATACCCAACATTGTAACTGAAGGCTGTAACAAGGGCTATGGGAGTTTTGAGCCAGAAACTTTTGTCAGAGAAAACCAGTGTACGTAACACCTCAGGCCATGGATCCCTCAGGCCAGGGATCCTTCACATCAAAAAATATAGGCTGGGTGTAGTGGCTCATGCTAGTAATCCCAGCATTTTGGGAGGCCAAGGCAGGAGGATTACTTGAGCCCAGGAGCTTGAGACCAGTCTGGGCAACATAGGGAGACCCTGTCTGTACAGATAATTTTAAAAATTAGCCATGGGCATGCAGCCCTGGGCATCGTTGCTGGCGCCTGTGGTCACAGCTACTTGGGAGGCTGACGCAGGAGGATTGTGTGAGCCTGGGAAGTTGAGGCTGCAGTGAGCCATGGTTATGCTACTGCATTCCAGCCTGGGTGGTAGAGCAAGACCCTGTCTCAAAAAAAAAAAATGTGTACACGCACAGTCCAGTCCCTCATACTGTATGAATGTCTCCCAGGATGAGACCACTCAGGTTTGCAGATTTCCTTCAATCTTGTCAGGTTTCAGAAGGAGTAGCCTCAGTAAATATTGTATACAATTTCACTTGTTAAGGTATCTGGGATAATTGAGCTAAGACACAATGTCATCTCTTGCTCTGAGACTCTTATAAGTTGTTAATGTGATACTGAATTTTCCTCAATGACCGATTTATTCATTTCTTTACTCTCAGCTACTATTTCTCCTTCTCTCCATTAATACCTACATTGAATTTTCCTTTAAAGGTTAAGTTTTAGTCCCTCTTGAGGTTGTTCAAAAAGATGCTCTGTGGACCAGGCATATGACTTTTTCTATATTTTGTTGTCATTATTTGTTTATATGGTTATTGTTGCAGGCTTCTTAATAGGTGGACCAACTAGGTTTGATTCATTTTTCTGTCCTCTACACCTGTAACTCTTTTTACTTAATAAAGCCATCAGGCCCACATGCAGAAGCCACTGACTCGTTTTATACAATATTTTTACATTTTATACAATTTTTATTTAGTTTAATAAATACATAGAACCTAGTATGTACTAGAATTGTCCTGTGTACTTTACAAATGTAACTCATTTAATCCTCATAATAACCCTAGAAGGTAGGTGTTATTATAATAACTGTTTTATTCTATAATTGAGACACAGAAAGGTTAAGTAGTATCTGGCTGCTCAATAAATGATGAGTGGAGGGAAATTTCCCACAGTTACTGATTTAAAGGATACAACACGTATTTGAATGCTTAAGCATTCGAATGGATGCTGTGGAAAATGGATCCTGTTATTCTGTGGTGCGATCTTGTATACTTAGCTTTTCACCTTGCCAGAGGGCTTTAGTCTTCTCTGTTATCAGACATGAGTGCTTTACTTTGGTGGTAGTCTTTGAGTATTTTGATATGTGTCATGAGCACTTTCATTGCAGAGAGAGTGGACTCCAGAGATTGTCATTTCCGGACACTTTGATGGTGTCCAAGACCTAGTCTGGGATCCAGAAGGGGAATTTATTATCACTGTTGGTACTGATCAGACAACTAGACTTTTTGCTCCATGGAAGAGAAAAGACCAATCACAGGTAAAATGTCTTATTTATTTATTTATTTATTTATTCTTGGGATGAAGTTTCATGTCACCCAGGCTGCAGTGCAATGGCATGATCTCAGCTCACTGCAGCCTCCACCTCCCAGGTTCAAGCGATTCTCCTGTCTCAGCCATCTGAGTAGCTGGGATTATATGTGCCCACCACCACACCCACCTACTTTTCGTATTTTTAGTAGAGACAGGGTTTCACCATGTTGGCCAGACAGGTCTCAAACTCCTGACCTCAGGTGATCCACCCCCCTCATTCTCCAAAGTGCTGGGTTACAGACATGAGCCACCGCAGCCGGTCTCTTCTTATTTTACTGGATGTGTTTAAAAGAAAACATCCATGAACACAAGAAAAGTAGGGCAGCCGTGCTAGCCATTAGGAAAATGCAAATTAGAACCATGATGAGATATCACCATATACTCTCTTGAATAGCTAAAGTAAAAAATATATTAACAGGTGCTGGTAAGGATGCAGAGCAACTGAAAGTTTCATACATTGCTTCTGGGGATGCAGAATGATACAGCCACTCTGGAAGACAGTTGGACATTTTATTTTTTATTTTTTGTAGAGACAGGATCTTGTTATGTTCCTCAGGCTGGCCTTGAACTCCTGGCCTCAAGTGATCCTCCTGCCTCAGCCTCCCAAGTAACTAAGACTACACATGTGAGCCACTGTGCCCAGCTAATTTTTAGATTTTTTGTAGAGACAGGGTCTTGCTCTGTTGCCCAGTTTCGTTATGTCTTGTAATTTTAGGTTTAATTCATTAGGAAGCATTATCAAGTGTACAATAAAAGCCTGAAGTCATATAGTGTTAGATAATAGTAGTGAGGGCAGTTCTTGTTTAAGGAAATTTTCACTGTGTTAGGCAACTAGAATAAAACAAAATGTAAAAGATGGATCCTGTTTTCAAGGAGTTTACCATCAAGCTACAGGGTAGGGCTATAGGTAGGGGGCAGTGGAACTAATGTTTCTGTAATTATTGGATGAAACCAGTTAATTGCTAACTATTGGCCCTGAGTTCAAACAATTGTAAAACTTCACTACTGGTAAACTTTGAACTGCTATGTGGTAGAGAAAATCAGGATCCTCTGCTTCAGTTTCTGACAGAAATTCATGGAACTGACTATGGGTCAGTCCGTAAGAGCTAAGAAAGTTTGCCACTAACACTACTGCTTCAGTAACACATGGTAGATTCAAATAAACAGAGTTGAGAACTTTGGGAACAGCATCTATAGTCAACTGAAAAACAAGTTAAATGATTTTGAGTGATTTTCTGTAGCTCTTGGTAATTGTTACCAATACTGCTCAGTTGTGGTTTATTCATGGATGAATTTGCCCTATGGTTATATTTCCATTGTATAGTAAATAATTTTCATCTAATAATTTGCTTGTTGAAAATTCAGCTTTGGAATGATCATTTTTGTTTATCCTGTTTTACCCAGGTGACTTGGCATGAAATTGCAAGGCCTCAGATACATGGGTATGACCTGAAATGTTTGGCAATGATTAATCGGTTTCAGTTTGTATCTGGAGCAGATGAAAAAGTTCTTCGAGTTTTTTCTGCACCTCGTAATTTTGTGGAAAATTTTTTTGCCATTACAGGAAAATCACTGAATCATGTGCTTTGTAATGTGAGTATTTCTCTAAATATTTTACCTAAATCTACTCCCTTCATTTTAAATTTAAAAAGATTTTTGCCATGGGCTTTAAATGGAATATATAGGCAGAAGGAAAGTAATATTGTTTCTTAATGGTTTGACAAACTTTTTTGTGCACTGTGGGCTGTAATGATTTAAATACTAAAACCAGAAATTTTGTGTACCATATGAGCTCAAAATACTATAAAGCTGCATTAGTGTTCAACTGAGATATGAATATGATGTTTTATCACTGTGTTAGGTACCTAGAATAAAACAAAATAAAAGATGGATACTGTTTTCAAGGAGATTACCATCTAGCTGCAGCGTAGGGGTAGAGGTAGGGGACGGTAGAACTAATGTATCTGCAGTTATTGGATGAGACCAGTTAATTGCCAAATCTTCTGGTACTAAAGTAAATTTCACAGAAGGAAGAGGTCATTGTATTGGAATAATGAGAACATGTTTAATGGGACTTCATTTGGGTGTCGTAAGGGTCTTTTTTTTATGTTTATACGCCCTTCTAAAAAAGATTTGAGCTACTTATAAAAATACATGGATTATAAAAGTTATGAAGTAATTTTGAAAGAAAGAAAATTAGGAAGATAGGTTACACAGAAGTACATATTATATAGCGCTTCACTTAGAGTTGAGTCACAAATTTGGTTCTGAGCTCGAAAAGGGATAAGTACCGTTTTGATAGGCAAAAAGAAGGAGGGGGAGAGAGAAAGAGAGAGCGAGCGAGTGAGCATGAGTGAGTGCAAAAGGGAGGCCAGAGCTGTTGTGGTACCTCTTAGAATGAAGACTGGATAGAAGTGGAGCATGGGAAAAGTCCATGGTGGAGGATCTTGGGATGCAGGCACAGTCCGACTGTGGGGTGCTGTTGGAGGCTCCTACACAAAGAGTGATGAAAAGCATTTTGGAAGAGAGTTATCTGGAAGCTAAGAGACTCTGAAGGCCGTGAAACTAGCACCAGTCTGGGTAAGACTGGAAAAAATGAAATTCATTAGAAATGAAGTATCCAACTAAAATTCCTGGAGTGTATACTCAGCACCTCATGCTACAGGCTTTCTTGATTATGTGAAGAGGATTTAAGATTCTGTTGTGCTTGTTTCTAATAATGGACAATAGGAACAAAATCAAAAGGAAAGCTTTGATTGTGGTTATTATGTAGAGCTAAGCATATGGAGGTGGAGGGGCAGCTAGTTTCAGGATCTGTTCAGTTCTAGGAATTGAAATAGGGTTTTAGGATTCCATGAGAGGCTTAGTCCCAGTTGTACACTTAGTTCTGTGTCCTAAGATACAGGGATCCTATAGAGCGGCGAGGCAAGCTGCTTGCTCTCGTTTGGGTTTTGCTCCCATACCAAGTGTTGGGATAGGTATGTAGGAATGCCTCTTACTGTTCTTTTGCATGTTAGTTTTTCTTGGTTTCTGAGATAAAGCATACTGTTTCTTGTGTCCCAGTTAGCCATTTTTGATGGTTTTAAATTCTTACTGTTCATGTTTGTGTCTAGTTTCAGCTTCTGTATTAAAGTCTAAATTGTACAGAACACTCTTAGCAAATGAACATGTTCCAGTTTTGATGGTTAGCATATAGTTTCACATATAATAATTTGATTGATATAAATTGCAAAATCTAAGCAGATAATTAATTGCCTTTTCAAATGGCACTCATGCAAAGTTTTTAAATACTCAGTTAGTTAGATACATTTAGTGAAAATACTATGACTAATGCTGTAACTGTTCCCTTCTGGGAAGCATCTGTGTCTATATGAGCATCATCAGGGGATATGCCTGTGAGATTATCTTGGAAGTAGAGCTCTGGGCCTTCCATTTTCAGCCCACTGCATTTCCTGTCAGACCCTGAAACCCATTGAAATGTTATGGTTGGATGAGATCCCTTTATGGATGAGAGGATGCCGAACTTTATGGATTGCATGGGAGCTGGACGCCTGGTAGGGCCTGTCTGTTGGAGAGTGATTGCTTAGCATTGCATTATTGGTTCAGAAAGTGAAAGTACGGGTAGACATCCACACAAGATGGTCTTTAAACTGTTTCTCGGCATTTATGAGCATGATTTTTTTGTAGTGTCTGAAGTAACAGTAACTTTTAGTTATAAAATTAGCATGTAAAACTTTAGCATTTAAAATTTAGATATTATATTTCCTATTCTAGCAAGATAGTGATCTTCCAGAAGGAGCCACTGTCCCTGCGTTGGGATTATCAAATAAAGCTGTCTTTCAGGGTAAGGCTTTTGTCTTCAAAATTATTAAACCCATAGTGGTACTTAAACCCCAGTCACACACTTGTGTAATGTCTACCTAATGTTTGTTACAGCTGATTTTTTTAAAATCACAATATATGTATCTATCTTTTCTATCACCTATTTCGTGATGAGTACTCTTTGTACACACTCAGACCACTGAAGTAGATGCAGTTTTCACAAAGCAAGTTTTCTTTTTTTTTTTTTTTTTTGAGACAGAGTCTTGCTCTGTCGTCCAGGCTAGAGTGCAGTGGTGCGATCTCAGCTCACTACAACCTCCGCCCTTCGCCTCCTGGCTTCAAGCAATTCTCCTGCCTCAGCCTCCCAAGTAGCTGGGACTACAGGCATGCGCCACCACACCCAGCTAATTGTTTGTGTTTTTAGTAGAGACAGGGTTTCACCGTATTGGCCAGACTGGTCTGGAACTCCTGACCTCAGGTGATCCACCTGCCTTGGCCTCCCAAACTGCTGGTATTACAGGTGTGAGCCACCACGCCCTGCCACAAAGCATGTTTTTTGGTGTTAGAACTACCGATGAGAATGTGGGTAACCTGAAGAATTGGTTATGTAGTTTTAAAAGTTTGGAAACTGATAGATCAAAGAAAATGGAAAGAACCTTTATGGAGTTGATTAATGCCGCCAGGAGCATGTTTGGAAAATACTGGAGTAATGGAAATACTCTTGCTTTTAGAATCACATGGACACAGCTGTGAATTACACCACTTTGAATTACCGCTGCTTTCTATCTGGTGGCCTTAATATTGAGACGAGCAAAGGAGATATAAAAATAGTGACCATATTCTTGATGTGTTTCTTCAAACTAGGAGATATAGCTTCTCAGCCTTCTGATGAAGAGGAGCTGTTAACTAGTACTGGTTTTGAGTATCAGCAGGTGGCCTTTCAGCCCTCCATACTTACTGGTAAGAAGTGACAAAGACAATTTAATAAATCACTAGAACACACAGTATGTTATCTATTGCTGCTGACCTAAATAAGTGCTATAGAATTCACTTTTGTATTTGGATGAACGTAGAAAAAAATAGGTTCAATTTATTCTAGAGCCTCCCACTGAGGATCATCTTCTGCAGAATACTTTGTGGCCTGAAGTTCAAAAACTGTAAGTTAAACTGTATTTAGCTCTTTGGTCTGATTCTGTCATAACTTGTGATTTTTCCTTCCTATCCCACAATTTGATTTCTCCTTTTTCTTCCTTCTACCTATCATTTTCCTCCTCCTCTATATATCTCTTAGTGGCTCTTCATAAGGAATGAGAATTAAACCTCACGTTTATTTCTATATTACTATTTATTGTGTTCATTAGTTTTGTTTATTCATCTTATTCTTAAAGTAGAGAAGCATAACATTATATATTTTTTCTTTGTTAAAAAGACTTGGCTGGGTACAGTGGCTCACACTTGTAATCCCAGCACTTTGGGAGGCCATAGCAGGAGGATCACTTGAGGCCAGGAGTTTGAGACCAGCCTTGACAATGTAGCGAGACCCCATCTCTATAAAAAATTTTTAAAAATTAGCCAGGCGTGATGATGCACGCCTGTAGTCCCAAGCTACTCAAGAGGCTGCGGCTGGAGGATTGCTTCCGCCCAGGAATTTGAGGCTGCAGTGAGCCATGATTGCACCACTGCACCCCAGCCTGGGTGACAGAATGAGACTTTGCCTTGAAAAAAAAAAAAAAGACTTAAGTTTTGTTGTTAGTCATGGTTTTTTTGTCTTTGATGGTTCCTGATGAAAACCTTTCCATGGTTTATTGTTTAGATACTGGCTGGTTGAAAGTAGGAGGTGCAAACTTGTATGTTAATTGTTTGAATAAGTTATATTACTTATAGGAAACTGGCATTTTTCTCCCATCTCCCTGTCTTTCTCTCAAATGTTTGCCTGGACGAACATATAATGTTCCTCAAAAGAACTGTATGTTAGCTAAAGAGATTGATGTTACTCTTTTTACTTTCAAAAATTGTGTGGCATGAGAATAGATTTATTTGCTAATAGTATATATCTTTCTCTTTAAATTTTAGATATGGGCATGGTTATGAAATATTTTGTGTTACTTGTAATAGTTCAAAGACTCTGCTTGCCTCAGCTTGTAAGGTAGGCAATTTTACTTTTGATTCTGCTTGGTCACAGGTTATTTGGGTCGTCAGGCTCCTGCAAGTTTGGTAATGATTTAGGCAGAACTCTACGTGAAAGGCCATTAATCCTTGGTTTTTTTAATCTTACTTTCTCAATTTCTCTTACCCTTGTGTCTCTTCAAAAGCTTATGGTTTCATTTTAAGGCTGTTTCAGCTGCACATTTTGAGCTTATCTGTGCCCCCCTACTAAAAGTGATTTAATCAAATATCTCAAAATGACAACTGGAATCCCAGCTACTCAGGAGGCTGAGACATGAGAATCACTTGAACTCCAGAGGCGGAAGTTGCAGTGAGTCGAGATCGCGCCACTGCACTCCAGCCTGGGTGACAGAGTCAGACTCTGTATGTAAAACAAGGATATCTCAAAATGATGCTAAAAATGTGATAAATTTTAAATAATTGGAGTCCTAGAGACACAGGGAAATGAGAAGAGGAAATCTGGAGTGAAGTCCATCAGACTTTTTTTGAGGACACTCTTGGCACTGACCTAAGGCAGATGACTTTTGCATTTACTTAGAAGGATGGTCTTGAATTCATCATTCAGTATTTATCCATATCCTATGGATATAGCAGTTATGGAGGATTATCTGAAGGGTCTGAAACCCACACATTCCTCTTAAATTTTCTGAAATTTATTTACTTGTTTTAAATATGATGGTAAGAGCTGCCCACCTGCATGGGCTCGTGTCCCTGCTTTTACTGTGGATTTATGCTGCTGATCTGCATTGAGAGGCATCATAAGAAATACTGCTGTGCTTCCCCTACACCCACCACTACCCTACTTGTTTATTCTTTGAAATGGTACTGAGAGGACTTCCTTCTCTTATAGGAGCCTTTGGGGAAAATGGAGTTTAGTAGTTCAACTGTCTGGGCTTCTACTGAGTGGATAATTTGTTTCTAACTTAGGGCACTGTGAATCCTGTAATTGATTTTTTTTTTCCCCTTTTCAAGTTGACTCACAAGATGTACATCCTCTAAACATTTTTTAAACAGCTGTATTTAGGGTTATTAACATACTATAAATTGTATGTTTAATGTAAGCAATTTGATAAGTTTTGACATATTTATCCCTGTATAAATCATCATTACAGTCAAGATACTGCATATATCCATCAACCCCCAACATTTTCTATGCTCTTTGGCAATTCCTCTTTTCTACGTTTCCCTTTCCCCTCCTGCCTCCATCCCTAGGAAACCATTAGTCTGCTTTTTGTCGTGATAGAGTAGTTTGCATTTTCTAAAATTGTATATAAATAGGATCATGTAAGTATGTACTTTTTTGGTTTTGCTTCTTTCATCATAATCGTTTGAGATTTATCCATGTTTTTGCGTGCGTCAGTAGTTCATGCCTTCTTAATGCTGAGTAGTTTTACCTTGTACAGATGTACCACCATTTGCTGATCCATTCACTTATTAATGGACATTTGGGTTGTTTTCCAGTTTTGGGCTTTTAGCGATGGTACAGTTATGAAAATTTATGTACAAGTCTTTGCATGGATATATGCTTTCATTCTCTTGAGTACATAACTGTGAATGGAATTGTTGGATGGTATGGTAGGTATATATTTAAAATTTTAAGACATTGACATGCTGTGTTCCCCAGTGGTTACACATTTTTGCAGCAGTGTATTAGATTTCCAGTTGCTCTGCACCCTCACCAGCACTTAATATCAGTCTTTTTAACTTTAACCATTCTAGTAAGTGTGTAACAGCTCATTATGGCTGTGATTTGTATTTCTTTAATGATATTAAGCATCTTTTCATGTGCTAATTTTTTATCCATGTGAAAATATGGTGAAACTATTCAAATCTTTTGCCCATTTATTTATTAGATTGTTTTCTTATTGAGTTTTGAAAAGTTTTTAAAATTTTTTTTATAGATTTAGGAGTACAAGTGCAACTGTGTTACATGGATATATTGTGTCTTGTTGAACTCTGGATTTTAGCATACCCATCACTTGAATAGTATACATTGTACCTTGAGTATTTCATTCCTCAACCCCTCCCACCTTTTTGATTCTCCAGTGTCTACTATTATTCCATGCTGTATGTCCATGTGTACCCATTGCTTAGCTCCTACTTGTAAGCAAGGATGTCTGGTTTTTGGCTTTCTGCTTCTGAGTCATTTCACCACTTAGGAGAATGGCTTCTAGTTCCATCCATTTTGCTGCAGAAGAAATGATTTCATTGTTTTTTATGGCTGAGTAGTAATTCATGGGGGGTGTGTGTGTGTGTGTGTATACGCACCACATTTTAAAAAACCAATTATCCATTGATGGACACTGAACAGTTTTTTATATACCCTGGATACAACTTTATCGGATGTGCTTATGTAGATATTTTTTCCCAGTGGCTTGTCATTCTCCTAACAGTGTCTTTCAAATGGCAGATGTTTTATGTTTTGGTGAAGTCCAGTTTTATCGATTTTTGTTTTTAATTTAGGTTGTGTCCTTCTTATATCTAATCTTTAACTCAAGGTCACAAGGATTTTTCTGTTGTGTTTTGTTCAAGGAGTTTTATGGATTTTTAAGTTTTGCCTTTAGACCTATGATACTTTCAAATTAATTCATGTATTTGTCATGGAATATAGATTAAAGTTGATTTTCTTTTATTGTAGATACCAGTTTCAGCATCATTTTTTAAAAAGACTATCCCTTCATCACTGTGTTTTGTCCCTTTGTCTAAAGTCACTTGTTCATATATGTGGGTCTGTTCCCTAGACTTTATTGAGTTCTATTGATCTTTTTTGATATGATGCCAGTACCATACTCTCTTAGTAACTATAGTGTTTTAATAATACATCTTGAAATTAGGAAGTATAGAGTTATTTTGGCTATAGTAGATCCTTTATTTTGCATTTTAGAATCAGCTTAAGAGTTTCTACAAAAATACCTGCAGGAATTTTAATGGAGATTGCATTGATTCTCTAGATTAATTTGGGGAGAATTTTAACAATATTGAGTGTTTTGACATATGAATGCAATATATCTGTCATTCCTTCAGGTCTTTAGTTTCTCTCAGGATTGATCTTTTTAAAAGTAAACCATTTATTTTGGAATAATTTTCATTTTTTTTTCACCTCCATATCACAGTTTTTCATTTCATTTTTTCCCCCTCCATGTCACAGTTTTGATCATGGAATAATTTTTTAAGGTCTGAGAGCCACAGTGAAAAGGAAAAAAAAAAAGCAAGCATGATAATATTAGTCCCTGATGATTCGTTTTTTCTAATCCCAGTCATCTGTAATTCTTCCCAGAGATTAGAAATGGTTGTAGTACGTTATCTCCTAGGAATTTTTTTTTAAATTCAAACAGATAAATAAAATATACTCATAGAAACAATGTGTTGTTTTTAAAATGGTTTCTCTTCAGTTTATTTTTACTTACTAGCTTTATTGTTTCATCTCTGTCCTACAGGCAGCTAAGAAAGAGCATGCAGCTATCATTCTTTGGAACACTACGTCTTGGAAACAGGTGCAGAATTTAGTTTTCCACAGTTTGACAGTCACGCAGATGGCCTTCTCACCCAACGACAAGTTCTTACTGGCTGTTTCCAGAGATCGAACCTGGTCATTGTGGAAAAAGCAGGATACAATCTCACCTGAGTTCGGTAAAACAGCTTCTGATTGGGAAAGTTACTAGTGAAACAGTTATGTCCATTTTATCTACATTAAGCAGCTTTAGTTAAGACAAAGATAACAGAGTAAAGGGTAGAGCCTCATGTCTTTGAAGCCTTTCAAAGTTCTTGGATAACTGAGGAAGACTTGACCTTCCTCGTAGGATTTAAATGGAGATGATCTTTGTTTGGGTTGACCTACCTGTGATTATATAGTCAAGATGGCATGTATTCAGATATCTCAGTTCAAGAAACATAAACGTTTGTATGTAGGAAGTTAGGTTTTGCAAATGGTGATAGAATGCTACCACAAAACCTAATGGATGACATATCCTGAGCTAGGATTTTATGGGACAGGAGTAATGAAGATACAACTAAGTAAACTCATGGTTGAGTGGTTTCTTCTCTCTGAACGATTTTATTAATATAGTACTCTTTTAAATTATGAAATATAGAGGAAACCATTATCCTTAGCTTTTTCCTACCCTCTCCAGTCACCTCCTTCATTGAGAAGGGCATACTAGGCATCCGTCTGGATAACATGACCCCTGAGCAAGGTGTTAGCCCACCTACCCACATTCTACTCTGAACCTGGCATAAACTGAAAAAAAAAAAGGACTAAAAACCTTTGTGTAGTTGGGGCAGTGGCCTACTCCTATTCCCCCAGTTTCTTTTGGTGGATAAGTTCTAGAGAGTGTTTAAAGTATATTTAAGTTGTTTAATCCTGTTTTTAATTTTTCCATTGATAAGACTCACATACAGTTTGGTTTTGTGATATTTCTAGTCTCTTTGTTTCTTGTGTTTTAGAGAATACCCAGGGACTGTAAAGTATACTCAGCAATATGTTTTAGAACAGACTGTTTTCTTTTGCATCACTAATCTTTTCCTAACATGCAGCATTTGCTGTTTAAAAAGCTAAAGTTGTCCAGGCACAGGGCTCATGCTTGTGATCCCAGCACTTTGGGAGGCCAAGGTGGGTGGATCACCTGAGGTCAGGAGTTGAAGACCACCCTGGCCAACATGGTGAAACCCCGTCTCTACTAAAAATACAAAAATTGACTGGGCGTGGTGGTGCATGCCTGTAATCCCAGCTACTTGGGAGGCTGAGGCAGGAGAATAGTTTCAACCTGGGAGGCAGAGGTTGCCAAGATGGTACTAAGATGAGCCAAGATGGCACCATTGCACTCCAGGCAGAGGTTGCCAAGATGATACTAAGATGAGCCAAGATGGCACCATTGCACTCTAGCCTCTGCGACAGAGCAAGACTCCATCTCAAAAAAAAAAAAAAAAAAAAAAAAAAAAAATTAATTAAAGTTGGTTGGGTGTGGTGGCTCACACCTGTAATCCCACCACTTTGGGAGGCTGAGGCAGGTGGATCATTTGAAGTCAGGTGTTTGAGACCAGCCTGGCCAATATGGTGAAATCCCATCTACTAAAAAATGTAAAAATTAGCCAGGTGTGGTGGTGCATGCCTGTAATCCCTGCTACTCAGGAGGCTGAGACAGGAGGATTGCATGAACCCGGGAGACGGAGGTTGCAGTGAGTGGAGATCCCACCACTGCACTCCAGCCTGGGCATTAGAGTGAGACTTCGTTCTCCCTGCAAAAAAAAAATTGTATTAATAATGTATTTATTAATTTGTTGTATCTTTATGAATTATGGAGTAATAATACAGTCTTATTCCCTCTTCATAAACAGTTATGTGGTTTTTGTTTTTTAGGGTTTTTTTTTTTTTTTTTTTTTTGAGACAGAGTCTCTCTCTGTCCCCCAGGCTGGAGTGCAGTGGCGCGATCTCGGCTTACTGCAAGCTCCGCCTCCCGGGATCACGCCATTCTCCTGCCTCAGCCTCCTGAGTAGCTGGCACTACAGGCGCTCGCCACCGCGCCCGGCTAATTTTTTTTGTATTGTTAGTAGACACGAGGTTTCACCGTGGTCTGAATCTCCTGACCTTGTGATCCGCCCGCCTCGGCCTCCCGAAGTGCTGGGATTACAGGCGTGAGCCACCGCGCCCGGCCGGGTTTTTTTTTTTTTTTTTTTTTTAGACGGAGTTTCCCTCTTGTTCCCCAGGCTGGAGTACAGTGGTGTGATCTTAGCTCACTGCAGCCTCCACCTCCTGGGTTCAAGCGATTCTCCTGCTTCAGCCTCCTGAGTAGCTGGGATTAAAGGCACCCGCTACCACACCTGGCTAACTTTTTGTATTTTTAGTAGAGATGGGGTTTCATCATGTTGGCCAGGCTAGTCTTGAACTCCTAACCTCAGGTGATCCACCCGCTTCTGCGTCCCAAAAGTGCAGGGATTACAGGCATGAGCCACTGTTCCTGGCCAACAGTTATGTGTGTTAGGTTTAGTCTGTATAAGGGCTAGAAGTTGCCTTACACTTAAATCTTAAAAGGAAAATATTTTCTTAAGATTTCTTTTTTTAAACATTAAGTGGTGCATTAATCTTTTTTCTATAGCCTAATATGCAAATCTGCCTACTTTGAGTACGGCTAAATAGCTTCAGGCTTCTTCTATAGGTGTGAGTTGAACTTCAGTTGAATGTTTGGAAGATGTTTGTCATCAGTCACTAGAGAGTGACCAGTCAGTACAAAAGCATTCCCTACTAGAAAAATAACTATGTCCACAGCCTTCTGGTGAACGGTTGTCTGGCTTCAGTCTGTTTCAAAAGTCAGTGCATATAAATTGAATATTAAGTCATATGGTGTATATGGCACTTAAACATCACTTCCTAATAGGTAAAAACCCAGCTTTCTCTGCTTTGTGAATAGTGTATCCATATTTCTTTCAGAGCCAGTTTTTAGTCTTTTTGCCTTCACCAACAAAATTACTTCTGTGCACAGTAGAATTATTTGGTCTTGTGATTGGAGTCCTGATAGCAAGTATTTCTTCACTGGGAGTCGAGACAAAAAGGTAATTATTTAAAAACTTAATATTTTTTCAAATGTAAAATAATATTTGTATAGGTATGTTTGAATAGAAAATGCATAATCCTGCCTTTCAGCTTTTCAAAATCAGCTATGTATTCCTTTCTGTTTTTCATATATGTACATATAAAAAAAGACTTTTCTTGTTAAATCCTATAAGTAAATTTCTCTGAAATGTCAAAAATATGAAGAGAAGACCTTTCAGACATATGACCTTCATCAAATGGTCCCAGTGGAAGAAGAGTAATAAATGAAATTAATCAAGACCAAGAAACCAGGAGGGCAGCAAGGGAGGTAGGGGAATAAGGGAAAAACTATTTTCTAGTTTTCATACTTTTATGAATTTAACATTTTTCTATAATGAATGGTTGTTACCTTTTCATTTGGTGCTAGAAGTGGGTGGAGTATGACTGACCCAAGCTTTAAAAAAAGTCAAAACAAAGTAGCTAGGAATTTTTTTTTTTTTTGGAGACAGGGTCTTGGGTGCAGTGGTACAGTCACAGCTCACTGCAGCCTGGATCTCCTGGGCCCAAGCAATACTCCCACCTCAGCCTTGGCCTCCCAAGTAGGTGGGACTACAGGTACTCACCACCACGCCCAGCCAATGTTTTAATTGTGTAGAGATGGGGTCTTGCCATGTTACCAGGCTGGTCCTGAACTCCTGGGCTCAAGCAGTCCTCCCACTTTGGCCTCCCAAAGTGTTGGAATTACAGGCATGAGCCACCACATCCGGCCTCTGAGTATGTTCTCCAACATGACCTTCACCTTTGTTCTCTGAGAAATGTCCACCTTGCCTCTAGTCTTTCCTTTGTTTTCATACTCTTTAAAATACCCTTCTGTTCCTACGGACTAGAGGTGGTGAAGCAGTTTAGTGTCGCCGTTCCTCTCCCTGCCCTCTTTAGTCACAGACACGGTACAGATCACTGAAGTGGAGGGCTAGCACAGGCAGGGTGTCACTCAAGCTAAACACCTACATGTCAGCCTCTTTGGCAGACTTTATGTCTCAGACCCTCCCTTCTGTTCATTTGCCTATTCTTTCTTGGCATTGGTGTGCCTGTGCTGTGCTCAATGCTGAGGCAGAAGGACTGCTTCTGTCCCCCACAGTCATGCTGTGTTAGTCTGTTTTCACACTGCTCTAAAGAACTGCCTGAGACTGGGTAATTTATAAAGGAAAGAGGTTTAATTGACTCATAGTTCCTCAAGGCTGGGGAGGCCGCAGGAAACTTTCATTCATGGCAGAAGGTGAGGCAAACACATCCTTCTTCACATGGTGGCAGGAGAAAGAAGTGCTGAGCAAAAGGGGAAAGCCTCTTTTTATGAAACCATCAGATCTCGTGAGAACTCACTATCTTGAGGAGAGCATGGAGGTAACCGCCTCCATGATCTGATTACCTCCTACTGGGTCCTTCCCACAACCTATGGGGATTATGGGAGCTACAATTCAAGATGAGATTTGGGTGGGGACACAGCCAAACCATATCATGTGCCTATAGAACATGGTCCATCTGCTACTCTCAGGGGTAGGTCAGGGCTCCAGCAGACAAGCAGCATTTGCTGGACATTCTCTGAAATGTACTTCTGCTTGCTTGGACAAAGCCTTCTGCTCAGAATCTTGCTTTGGTTCTGCATTTTGCTACTGTTGTCCACTTCACTTTTCTCCTTTTGATATGGAGTTTCGCTCTTGTTGCCTAGGCTGGAGTGCAGTGGCGCCATCTTGGCTCACTGCAACCCCTGCCTCCCAGGTTCAAGCAATTCTCCTGCCTCAGCCTCCTGAGTAGCTGAGATAACAGATACCCACCACCATCCCCAGCTAATTTTTTGTATTTTTAGTAGAAACGGGGTTTCACCATGTTGGCCTGTCTTCAAGCTGTCCACCCGTCTCTACCTCCCAATCTGCTAGGATTATAGGTGTAAGCCACCACACCCAGCCCACTCTCCATTGCTTTGTGACCATTCACACATCCTTGAGGTATGAGCTTCCAGGGAAGCCTCATTTCTTGAGGGGTATCATGTAGGTCAGGTTTTCCTTATAGCTGAGTAGATTCCCTGAGCAATGGACAGTGTAGAGAAAGAGCTAGAAAGCTGATTAGTTCTTTTTTTTTTTTTTTTTTGAGACAGAGTTTCACTCTTGTTGCCCAGGCTGGAGTGCAATGGTACGATCTTGGCTCACTGCAACCTCCACCTCCTACGTTCAAGCAATTCTCTTGCCTCAGCCTCCCTAGTAGCTGGGATTACAGGCACCCACCACCACGCCCAGCTAATTTTTATATTTTTAGTAGAGACAGGGTTTCACTATGTTGGCCAGGCTGGTCTCAAACTCCTGACCTCAGGTGATACACCTGCCTTGGCCTCCCAAAGTGCTGGGATTACAGGCGTGAGCCACTGCGCCTGGCCCAAAAGCTGATTAATTCTTAAACATTTTGTAGTAGCTTCTTGGGGAAGTGCATGAGCCTACTGATGGGACTCCACTGGATCGTAACCAATTTGTGCGTGTAGAAGGCACGTTAGACACCTCTGTCTGGTCTCTGGGCAGGAACGTTTTGTCTTTGGACCAAAGTGAGCTCTCACAGACGCATGTCTGCTGTACTGTGCCTTCTTTGTGATGCTTGAAATGTTCTCAAGTCCTGGCACATCATACACAAATGTAAATGATGCATTTAAAAAAATACCGGAGCAAATACTTTGTTGTATCTTTGCCAATGAAACTGTAGTGCATTGCTAGAAACCTTGCAGAGAGAAGGCTTTACAGTGTGTGATCTGTCTGTATTAGGTGGTTGTCTGGGGTGAGTGCGACTCCACTGATGACTGTATTGAGCATAACATTGGCCCCTGCTCCTCAGTCCTGGATGTGGGTGGGGCTGTGACAGCTGTCAGCGTCTGCCCAGCGCTCCACCCAGCGCTCCACCCTTCTCAACGGTCAGTCTCTGTGTGGGGCTTAGTTTTAAGGGGACCACTTGGTTTCTTAATACGTAACCCTCATGTCATTTCATTTGTGAATTCTCCTGGCCTCTGAGTTACTGTCTTTTTCTTTTTTTTTTTTGAGATGGAGTCTCACTCTGTCACCCAGGCTGGAGTGCAGTGGCATGATCTCTGCTCACTGCAACCTCTGCCTCCTGAGTTTAAGTGATTCTCCTGCCTCAGCCTCCCAAGTAGGTGGGATTACAGGCATGCGCCACCACACCTGGCTGATTTTTTTGCATTTTTAGTAGAGATGAGGTTTCACCATGTTGGCCGGGCAGGTCTTGATCTCCTGACCTCAAGTGATCCACCTGCCTCGGCCTCCCAAAGTGCTGGGATTACAGGCATGTGCCACCGCGCCTGGCCTCAGTTACTGTCTTTTCCAAAATGGTTATGTTTCTCATAATAATTTTTGAATTGATAGAACCTAATGATTCAGAATGTAAAATACAGGTTAGGAATATGGCTCAAAGAGTCTTACTTCACCAAATCTAGGACTGTGGTATTTTTTCTGTAACAAGCGTCTTCAGTGGAACAAGGGTCCCTGTAGCCAGCTGGGGAAACACTGGCTCATGGGCTTTGCCAGCAGATGATACAGATAAATCTGTGTGCAGCCCCTGTAAAGTGGAGGCTCCTTGAGGACACAGCAGAGCAGTGCAGCATGTCCTGGGCTGATGCCTGCAGAGTCTTTTGTAAGGCAGGGACAGTTGGGACACTGTGAAGAACTACTTTAGAGCAATGACGGCGATAACAGAATTTCATGCTAAGTTAGTCACTTTTGTCCCTCTCCCTTAAAAACAGATATGTGGTTGCAGTGGGATTGGAGTGTGGAAAGATTTGCTTATACACCTGGAAAAAGACTGATCAAGTTCCAGAAATAAATGACTGGACCCACTGTGTAGAAACAAGTCAAAGGTATTTCTTTCCTATTTTTGTTTCCATCAGATTAACTAGAAATTGTGGGGTCTTTCGTGGCAAATTTGATGCCACATTTTCATGGAGAGGGACATATATCTTTATTCATGGTGTCTACCACTTTGTTTTGTGGTAATCTGAAATTGATATATTGCACTTGATTTTTAAAAGTTTGCTTGACCAAATTGCTTGCATGCATAATATTGTTTTTATAAACAACCATTTGAGATGAAAGTGATTTTCATAATGGTGTGTTTTGGAATTTGACTACAGATTCTTAATTTGATTCAAAATGTTTGTGATTTTTAAACGTATTCTGGATTGCACTTTGGTAGTCGTATCCTTATGATTGAACCCTTCACCTCAGATCCTGCAGTGGAGCTTTCAGGCATAGCAAGGCTTATGCCCTGGGCCTCGTGCATTTGCCACCTGAGCTGGCATAGAGCACCTACTGTTTACAGCCTCCTCCCCATCCCACCCACCTAGACAGCAGGGATCACTTTTAATCTACCCTTTTACAGATTTTATTCTTTTTGTGTGTGTGTGTGAGAGACAGGGTGTCACTCTGTCACCTAGGCTGGAGTGCAGTGGCAAGATCCCAGCTCACTGCAACCTCCACCTCCCGAGCTCAATCAGTCTTCCTACCTCAGCCTCCAAGATAGCTGGGACTATAGACACGCACCACCACACCCGGCTAATTTTTTTTTGTATTTTTAGTAGAGATGGGGTTTCATTGTGTTGACCAGGCTGGTCTGCATCTCCTGGGCTCAAGCAATCCTCCTGTCTTGGCCTCCCAAAGTACTAGCATTACAGGCATGGGCCACTGTACCCGGCCCAGATTTTATTCTTTAAAAATGTCTAAATGTGGCTGGGTGTGTTGTCTTATGCCTGTAATCCTAGCACTTTAGGACGCCAAGATGGGAGGATTGCTTGAGCCCAGGAGTTTGAGACCAGCCTGAGCAACATAGTGAGACCCCCGGTCTCTACCAGAAATAAAAGAAATTAGCCAGATGTGATGGCGCATGACTGTGGGTCCCAGCTACTTGGGAGGGTGAAGTGGGAGGATCACTTGAGCCCAGGAGGTTGAGGCTGCAGCAAACCATAATCACACCATTGCACTCCAGCCTGGGTGAGTGAGACCCTGTCCCCCCTAAAAAAATATAAACGTTCAGAAAGCTCCTCGTATCATTCTGTGTCATATTTTCTTAGGCTTTTTCAACCTTCATATATCTGTACTGTTGAAAATACAATTTCAAATAGCAGTTTCAAATGACAATATGATGAGGGTGAGTGCTTAATGGAGAGAGATTTATGAGCAATGTCTTTTATAAGATATTTCATCCAGCAGATCTTGTCATGTCAACCAAACATGTTAGTGCTCATTATAATTATATTTATTAAAATGAGATATTGCCATGCCCCCATGGCTTCCCTCCTGCCTCTCTGGGCTGGGTTTAGCAGTTGAACTAGTTTGTGCTGTTGGCTTGCTGAAGAGGGAAGAAATCTGTTGAAATTCTATGCTTCAGGCATTTGAAAGGCACCCCTTCCTTCCACTTTGCCTGCCCACAGTGCTCCCTTCACCTCTAACCTGGTATGAAGACCTCTTCAATGGCCCCCATGTGGGACACTGGCGGGAAGCCACTTAGAAAGTGCAGGAAGGGAACATGTATAGAATTTGAGTTTTTTGTCTGAAGGGGTTGTTTTTTCCTTTGGTCATTATGGTGACTTAGGATTTGCAAGATGGAACTAATGCATGACTTAACATATTATTTGGATTGCTAATATTTCAGTTACCAAATTCCAAATACTGTTCAAATGAAAGCTTTTGCTAGTAATAGATTTACAAAGGTAATATAAGCAAACACTACCCTTTAGGTTGGTTTGCCAAGCTCCCTATCTTCTTAAATGTGACATGTTAATATGCTGGATTTAAAGGACATTACCAAAAAGAAAAAAGAAACCCACTATCTCAAAGCTTTACATAGCCAAACGAGTACTGTTCCTCAAAGTAACTCCCTTGGAAAGAATTATACCACATATGTTTATTTCAATAATTTCACTACTTCAAATCATTCTTTTAATGAAATGAGAGAACTTTAATCCATAATAATTGAGATTCCACTTATGTTGCTATCACTTAAAATATTCTTGGAACTTCTCTGTAGGAATTGTGTTCAGAACTAGCTTACTAGTGATGCAAGAAAACAAATTATAATGCCTTTTATGGTGTTATTTCAATCGTTTCCTCTTTTTAAAGCTTGCCATTCATATCTATTAAGCTTGCCATTTATATTTATTATAAAGCTTACTTCCAGGTGCTTTCAACAGTCAGATTCATCCTCAGAGGAATATGAGCTATCATTGAGAGTACTCAAATCATAGTCTGCATAATATGGAGGCATTTTCTCTAGAGTAATTTCAGAAAACAGTTGAGGCACAGCAGCACTGTTATAACCTCCCAGAGTGACTATTTGTAAGGGCTCGCAGTCATCTTGTTGCATAGGTTCAGGAGGACTGATTTTTTAAAATGGGTTTCATGACTTCATTCTTCCCTTTTAATCATGAGAATGCATCTGGTGACAGGGACTGTCAGCAAATGAGAGTGTAATGTGAGTGTTCTGGTATTGTTTTCAGTGTTTACTGCCCTAAAACCTACTTAGGTTTTTCACTTTAGTCGTTTCTGGTTTGGGAAGCTAATTTGGAGGTTAAATTTATAGAAGAAGTTGTATTTTCGTAGAGATTTGTTACTAACATACCTTGGTAATATTCTGGGTCTGCCTTTTTAAAGGGCTGGGGGTGTAGGGGGTAGGGAGCATTAATATGATGGTCTTGCCCAAGGTCACGCAGTTAGAGGTCACACTGGAGACCAAGACTCCTTCATTGGGCAGTACATTAAATCTTTCATTGTCTTTCTTTACCCAGTATTAAAAATGCAATTCCATCCCCCTCACAGGGATGTCAAAAAAATAAAATAATCTAGAATATATAGTAAAGTTGAAATCGTTATAAATACATTTAGTAATGTTATCTAAAAGACTAACTGGAATATCCATTTCATGAAATTCCATTGATCATTAAAACAACATTTATTTAAAAAATTTTTATTTTTTGTATTTTTTAAACAACATTTGACAGAGATTCATTGTCTGTTTCTTGCTCCTTTTGGTGATGTTATTGCCAGTAAGTAAGATTAAAATTTAGTCTTGCAGTTTTATGTAAATATAGTAAAATATTTTCCAGGTTAAAATAAAATGGCTAAAATGTTAACGATGGTATTTTAAAACCTGTACATTTCAATTTTCAGGTTGTAACTTCCATTCATGTTTACACCATTAATTGGAAAAACATTTCATGACTTCTCTATCTTTGTTTTAGCCAAAGTCATACACTTGCTATCAGAAAATTATGCTGGAAGAACTGCAGTGGAAAAACTGAACACAAGGAAGCAGAAGATGCTGAGTGGTTGCATTTTGCAAGCTGTGGTGAAGATCACACTGTGAAGATACACAGAGTCAATAAATGTGCACTGTAATGGACTTAATAACTACATGCTTGCAGTCACTGGTATCTTAAAATAATATCAGGTAAATAGATCATCTTTGCCTTCATAATAGAACTGAGTTTCTTTTTTTTTTTTTTTTTTTTTTTTGAGATGGAGTCTTGCTTTGTTGCAACCTCCACCTCCCAGGTTCCTCAGCCTCCTGAGTAGCTGGGACTAGAGGCACACGCCACCATGCCTGGCTAATTTTTGTATTTTTAGTAGAGACTGGGTTTCACCATTGACCAGGCTGGTCTCAAACTCCTGATCTCAGGTGATCTGCTCACCTTGGCCTCCCAAAGTGCTGGGATTACAGGCATGAGCCACTGCGCCCGACCTGAGTTTCATTTTTTAAGTTACATAGCGGTAGTCCTTATTTGAGTGCTAGACCCTTTGAAATGCGATGAAAGCTATGGACCCTTCACTTTGTTATATAACATGTACACACACCCAGAACTTTGCACATACGTTCAGAGATTCCTAGACCCACAGACCTGCCTCTGTGTGTCCCAATTTAAGAACCTCTGTTCTTTCTTCATGACTGGATTTGCCCAATTTTGTGTTATTTTGGGACTTCATTTGTCCCTCTTTGGGACATTTCCTTATTTATTGCCCTCTTCAGAGAGTAGACATAGGAAAAACAAGATAGGAAACCTAGATTACTTAATTTTTATTTTAACATTTTCTGTAGATAAGCATACCACGCCAAGTGTGCTCTGTCTTGATCCCCTTCTTTTTAGCATATGCCAGACATTGTAGAGTTTGGCAAGCAGTTGTAGGTTTGAGCTGCAGCCAATCATTTCTTTTGTTCTTTAGAAGTACATAGATTCGTCTTTTTAGGGCTTTACCGAAAGTAAAATATTCTGACATTTAAACTGATAGATGTAGAAGGTAAAAAATAGAGTTCCGAAACATCTGAATTTATGTGATAGCTGAAGTCACAAGATGAGGGATGTATGTCCTCCAGGGAGGATGCAGAAAGAAGAAAAGGGTGCTGGAAACAGCCTGTCAGTTGTGCCAGCTGTGGGCTGGAGGCAGCCAGGAGAGTTGGGAGCCTGGGTGTTGGGTGGAGAGAGGTTAACGGGGAAGACATGGGAAGTACTGTGAACACGGCTGGTGTGAGCAGAGGACTATTCTGACCCTGTTGGAACATAGAGCCATCTGACAGATTGACAATGCAGTGAAGGCTGTATATAATAAATGTGTTGAAAGGAGGAAGGTGAGGATTTTCTTGGTGGGAGTTTACGCCATTATTTAACATATTTTGCTTCCAAAGGGGTTACAATGTTTTACCTAAATGGATGTTTCTAGGTCAGTGCTATAGAGTATTTCTAATCTGTGTTTTATAGTGTGAGCTACATATGTAATTTTAAAATTTTCAAGTAGCCACATAATGAAACAGGTGAAATTTAATGACCCATTTCCTTTAATACGGTATATCCAAAATATTATTATGTCAACCTGTAATCAATATTAAAACCTGTACTGAAGTATTTTATAGGGCCTCTCTCAGTTCAGACTAGCCACATTTAAGTGCTGCATAGCCACATGTGGCTCATGGCCATCCATATTTGAACAATGTACTTTAGACTATTGCATCTGTATACTCTTGTGCCCTCAGCTGGGGGATGGGGGGTATGTGCGTGTGTGTACCAAGGCAGTGAGCATCTGAGCTTTGAACCTCAGAGACCAAAATGCCATGCCCATTTCCCTGCTATCAGCTGAGGAATCTTTACTCACATTGACACACGGGCTTATTCTGACCCAAGTGCATGCAGGCTTCCAGAGCAGATTCAGAGGCCTAACTTAGTCCTTTAGCTCCCCTCCCAGCACAGAACCCTCCAGGTTATCTGAAAGTAGGCCTCGCCTAGAGTGACTGAGTTTCCAAGTTGTCAGTTTTCCCAAATGGTCCTCAGGCATCTTCCTTAGCAATCACCTTACAGTTTAGTAAACATTCAGAGGACTTGCTACACATCTGGGCAGTCTGCATTGTAATTCATATGTGTTTACACACTTATGTCTTCATCTGCTAAAGCACCTTTGAACCGTATTGTAATTCATAATATCTGAAGCAATTATTTTGAATTGTAGTAATTCATAATATTGAAGCAATTCATAATATCTGAAACAATCCTCAGATATGGGTTAGGCATGGCCCTGCTCTGAGCAGGATGGCAAAAGTGGCAGTCTATGACGCAGCCCTTGTTACCTAGGCTATTCCTAAATGGTGATGGTGGTTTTATGTTAATTAAAATGACATCATCAACAACGCACCCTTTCCTGTCTGCCAGGAAAAGTTTTCTGTAGTGACGCATGTGTTTGTGTGTGTGCGTTTGAGGCTATATTACCCATTGCTACAGCAGTTCAAAATGACTTGGAAAAAAACAATGAATGCTGGTCATTGATGTGTATACTGACATGTTTAAGGGAAGTTACTGTGGTCTGTAACTTAAGAAATAAATAAAAAATAAGATGGGTGGAGTGACGGACACATGGATAGATATGAAGCCAGCACTGTAAAATATTAGTGGTAGTTTTGTATGCCCATACTCACAGTACCATTATTCACAGTAGCTAAGAGATGGAAGCAATACGTGTCCATCAGTGGGTGAATGATCAACAAAATATGTATTCATACAATGGAATATTATTCAACCTCTAAAAGGAAGATATGCTGACACATGCTGCAACATGGATGAATCTTGAGGACATGATGCTAAGTGAAGTAAGCTAGTCACCAAAAGACAAATACTGTATGCTTCCATTTATATGAAGTATCTAGAGCAGTCAAATGCATAGAAACAAAGTAGAATGGTAGTTTCCAAGCTCTGGGGGAGGAGGAAATGAGGAGTTGTTTAATGGGTATAGTGTTTCAGTTTTGCAAGACAAAAAGTTCTGGGGATTGATTGCACAGTTATGTGAATACTGTATATCGACTGAACTGTACACTCTAAAATAGTTACGATGGTAAATATTATCTTTATTTTACCACAGTGTTTTTTAAAGCATGGTAAACAACATTTTCCAGGATGTAAATTGGTACCAAAAAAAAAAGTGCTCCAAAGTAAGATATATTCGGGAAACACAGGGCTAACTAAAGTTAGATAGGTGTCTTTATTGTAGGAATTCTAAGAGCATTTAACAAATTAATTTACATTGAGAAATTTCAATGTGGAGGGTCTGGCTCATAACATTTCACAAACATTAAACTTCAGAGTCCCAAAGCCTTTAAATAAAATGTTAATGGTAGAAACTTCTTAAGGGGTGTTCATTGTACAAGTCTTTCAATTTTTCTGCATGCTGGGAGGTTTGGTTTTTTTTGGTAACAACATGTTGGGGAAAATGGCCTTGGAATATTTCATTCAAATTGGAGCCAAGCTAACACAAAGCTGTTGCTGCTAGTGGGAACAGCCCTGATGTCCATGTAACAAGCTGCTCTCCCCAACTCCCTCCCTCCTCCTTCTCCTTCCTCGGAGCCCACTTCTAGGATTAACAGGCAGGGAGGCAGAGAGCCCAGCTCAGGTAAGTTGGGCCACAGCAGAAGGAGGGCCAGGGCAGAGGTTTGGGCCTTGGCTCTGATGCTTGAACATAAACATACCTAGTCAGAAGTACATCAGTACAAAGTGGACCCTACAAAATGATAGGGCCAGAAAACAGGTATGTGGTTACCAGGGGCTGAGAATGGGGAGAGGAGTGACTACAGAGGGACCCAGATTCTTCAACAAATACATTACAAGAGGAAAAGGGAAAGGAAGCCTGGAGATTGAAAGATACTTGAGACATGTGAATCCAGTGCAATGTATGAACCTTGTTTGCATCCTGATCTGCACTAGCCAATCAGTCTTGTAAAAATACACTTAAGGGACAAAGCAAATTTGAACTCTGCCTGGATATTTGATGATTTTAAGGAAACAACATTTAAATATATGACAGTGGGGCTGTGGTTATGATTGTTTTTTTTTTGTCTCTAGAGACTGGGTTTTGAAGTGTTGCCTAAGCTGGTCTTGAACTCCCGGGCTCAAGCAGTCCTCCCACCTCAGCCTTGGTTTCTTTAAAAAAAAAAAAAAAAAGTTCTTTTGAATCATACGTGCAGTATTTATGGATGAAATGAATTTATGTCTTAGGTTGTTTCATAATGATTGTGTGTGTGGCAAGGATTAGGTGGGTTTTAGATGTGTGGATTATTAGTGAAGCTGGGCAGTGGTGGGGTGGTCATACTATTCTAATTTTTTTTTTTTTTTTGAGACGGAGTCTCACTCTGTAGCCCAGGCTGGAGTGCAGTGGCCGGATCTCAGCTCACTGCAAGCTCCGCCTCCCGGGTTCACGCCATTCTCCGGCCTCAGCCTCCCAAGTAGCTGGGACTACAGGCGCCCGCCACCTCGCCCGGCTAGTTTTTTGTATTTCTTAGTAGAGACGGGGTTTCACCGTGTTAGCCAGGATGGTCTCGATCTCCTGACCTCGTGATCCACCCGTCTCGGCCTCCCAAAGTGCTGGGATTACAGGCTTGAGCCACCGTGCCCGGCCTAATTTTTTAATATATTTAAAATTTCCTTGTAAGAATTGTTAAATGAAAAGGCAGGGCACGGTGGCTCACGCCTGTAATCCCAGTACTTTGGGAGTCCGAGGCGGGGGGATAACGGGGTCAGGAGATCGAGACCATCCTGGCTAACACGGTGAAAACCTGTCTCTACTAAAAATACAAAAAAATTAGCTGGGCATGGTGGAGGGCACCTATAGTCCCAGCTACTGGGGAGGCTGAGGCAGGAGAATGGCGTGAACCTGTGAGGCGGAGCTTGCAGTGAGCCGAGATCGCGCCACTGCACTCCAGCTGGGTGAAAGAGCGAGGCCGTCTCCAAAAAAAAAAAAAAGGAATTGTTAAATGGAAAAAAGAATGAGCATATCCATAAGTTAAATACAAGAAGTGTTACATTGTGAGGAATTCTTCCCCTCCTAGCATGTAGTGGATGGTCCAGTAGTAAGGCTCTGCCACGCTTAAATAAGAGACTGGCACTCCAAGGACAATGAGGCTGAGGCCAGAAGAGAGACAGAATGTGGGATGGCTGCATGTGGTTGGTGGATAGAGGACTCTGAGCCCCACACTCTGGTGGACTCAGAGATCTGGCACCTGGGCTGGGCGTGGTGGCTCACACCTGTAATTCCAGCAATTTGAGAGGCTGAGGCAGGTAGATCATTTCAGGTCAGGAGTTCGAGACCAGCTTGGCCAACATGGTGAAACCCCATCTCTACTAAAAATACAAAAAAAAAAAAAAAGCCAGGTGTGGTGGTGGGCACCTATAATCCCAGATGTTCCAGAGGCTGAGGCAGGAGAACCACTTGAACCCAGGAGGAGGAGGAGGTTGCAGTGGGCCAAGATTGAGCCACTGCACTCCAGCCTGGGCAACAGAGTGAGACTCCATCTCAAAAAAAAAAGTATCTGGGACCCAGAACCAAGTGAAACACCAGAGTGAAGGAGAGAGGCCATGCTTTGTCCGAGAAGCTCCCCCTGGGGTGGAAGGCACAGCTCCACAAAGACTGCTCTTGCGGGGCCTCCCCTGCAGCCAGGTGCCTGCTGACTGTCCCCAAACTGCCCGCCAACAGAGGCATGCAAAGGGAGCCTCTTCCTGCTCAGTGGAATAAGCAAATTATGTCACCTTTCACTCCAGACTCTCACTTCTGCCCCTGCTACCCTTAGTCTTTGGCTTTTGCTGACATTTTCCCCTACATCTTTTCTCCTGACCAAGTTCTAGATATTTCATAGGGAAGTCTAGGTAAGGGTTGGAACCTCAATGAGTCGAGCAACAGAAACCCAGCTCACACTGGCTATCACTGTGGACAAGCTGTTCCCCTCATTTCTAAAAGTGGAGATAAGATTAGTGTATGAGTCTGGCTGCCATTCAACTGTGTGTGAAAAACATTGTAAAATTTTCTTTCTGGTTTACACAAGTTAAAAGTTTATTTCTCTCATATGAAAGGAGTCAAGGCAGACAGACCAGGATGGGCAGGGAGATGTCTACAGGATCAAGGACCCAGGCTCTTAGTTCGCTGTCTGACGTCCTCAGTATGAGGCTTTCACCTTCCAGGATGGCTGCTTGGCCGCCTGCCATGATCTTTGCATTCCAGCCAGTAAAGAGGAGGAAGGCATGAAGAAAGGCCTGCCCGTGACTTTAAAAACATTTCTTGGAAGTCCCATATGATTTTACTTAGTCTCCTCAGGCAGAATTTAGTGTTGTGGTCATACCTAGCTTCAGGAGAAGCTAGGAAATTAAATCTTTATTGCAGATGCCCGTGTGTTCAGCAGAGAACTGGGGTGCTTCATTCTGGCAGAAAGGTAGAACAGCAGTAACCAGTTTGTAGGATTGTCCTGGGAATTAAATGAGCCAATGTATGAAAAACACTAGTTTGGTGCCTGGGATATAAATAAGACAGCAGTGGTTTGTATCTGCTACTATTATGATTAAATAAAGCTCAGCTCATGTCACCTCCATAGAGCCTTTAGTAAACCCCTCAGGTATTCTTTTTTTTCTCTCTCTGAATTCCGTAGTATTTTATTCCAATTTCCTTTTATGGCACTTGTCACCTTCTATCTTCTATCTTTGTGTATGTTTTATGCTGTGTCAGGTAGATGCCTTCTTTTGTAAGGAAGTTCATCTCAAACACAAAGGAATTACTGGCTCATATGACTGAAAAAAGTTCAGTGGTGGGATAGGCTTCAGGTGCAGTCTGATATGGGCCCTGCCTTCCTTTCTCTAGTTTGCTCAGCTCTGCCCTTTCCATGGTAGCTTTCTCCTTTTGTTATTATTTGAAACTGAGTTTTGCTCTTATTGCCCGGGCTGGAGTGCAGTGTCCTGATCTCAGCTCACTGCAACCTCCACCTCCTGGGTTCAAGTGATTCTCCTGCCTCAGCCTCCTGAGTAGCTGGGATTACAGGCACATGCCACCATGCCTAGCTAATTTTTGTATTTTTAGTAGAGACGAGGTTTCACCACGTTGGCCAGGCTGGTCCTGAACTCCTGACCTCAGGTGATCCACCCGCCTCAGCCTGCCAAAGTGCTGGGATTACAGGCGTGAGCCACTGGGCCTGGCCCGTTATTATTTTTAATAGAGACAGGGCCTCACTATGTTGCCCAGGCTGATCTTGAACTCCTGGACTCAAGCCATCCTTCTGTCTTGGCCTCCCAAAATGCTGGGATTATAGGGGTAAGCCACCATGCCTGGCCACATGGCAGCTTACTCCTGAGGCTATTCCTCATTGCCGTAAGAGGAATGCAAACAGCCCCTACGTTACTTTTTTCCTTGTTAATATCAAAGGAAATAACTCTTAGCATTAAGTCTCTAACTTTACTCTGACTGGACCATTCCTCAACTAATCACAGTGGGCAGGGGAAAGCCACACATTGAGTGACTTGTGCTTGCCCATCTGATGTAATGAGCTGTGAGATCACCTATGCTGGCCTAGAGGCAGAGTAGGTCCCAATGAGATCACATGGCTGCTCTAATGTGGGGTGGTTTTCCAAAGCAAAATCAGAGGGGCCAATGGATACAGGATGGGCAAGCAATGTGAGCCCCCTGTACAAGCCTGCTAAAGCCTAAACACCTGGCCATCAGATGGTTTTCCTGTTGTCCACAGTATCTGGCAGTGTATTGTCACATATTTGCTGAATTCAGGGATGAATGAGTTTGACAACATTGATGGCTGGTGGAGAAACCATTCTCAAATGTAATCTGCCAGTCAGTAAATAGAGTATCTGAGATTCCTGTCTTGGTGGTATAAAGGGGTAGGGGGCGAAGAGTAGGAAGGAGGTGCTAGCACAGAAGGGACCAAGAAGGGGCTGGCCTGGCCCAGTGGATCTGCTCATGAATGAACATGGGAGAAGCCAGGCCCCTGGGAAGACAGTGCCAGGAAGACTGCTGCTCTGGGCCCTCCACCCTCTCAGTCCTGTGGTCAGCCTAGTACTGGTGGGTTTGGTTGTTTCAAACATTAGATATAATGGAGCCTTGTTCCCAATCATGTCATGATGTTGAACTGCCCTTTTAGTTTCTATTCACAGGAAAGGTCTTGTGTCAGTCTAGGGGAGGGAACTTCCTGGGGTTTCTGACCTTTCTTTCCACTGCTTTCAGTTTCTGCTGGGGCACTCTGCCAGTCTTTGGAGAGAAACTTGCTCCAATGCTGTGTCTGTCTCACTGCTTCCTGTGCCAGCCCACTTCTGATTTCCTAGGTACCAGGATATCCAGGTTTGTGAGCTCTCATTGTTGGA